GGTACAACAATAAACTAATGGTAGACATATATGTGTAAATTAAAACAGGTGGTTAAGTAATGAGTAATGTGCACATTTAAAATAAAACGAACAAATAATCGATCAAATGAGTTGAACAGATTGCCTTAGACCAAGTAAGTAGAATTATAGGACACTTAAAATATAATGATAGTCACTTGTAAATGATGTAAGACAGAGGGTGAATTATCAGCCTGTGCGTTCACGTAAAGGTGGCTAAGGTAAAGAAAGCGGTAGTAAAATATTCTTCTGACCACATGGAATCACCATCTTCAGATGGATTCCACTGGCTTCTGCCTAATAAAACCTTTCTTCTACTATGACTCACTGACTCGTTTCATACATGTCCTCACCATCTCAATCGAGGCAACTGCTTCACACCCTCATCGATTGATTTCCCCTCCTTACCAAGCACTTGTTCAAGGCTTAACTTTAATATTACTCACCCCATTATACCATCAAACACGGGGGATAGAACGCACAAAACTATGATCAGAGACAGCTAGCCTTTTCAAGTCTTCCACTCCCAACGGCCATGTCTCACTCACAGTTATGAAGGGGGACGGGGTGAGCTGCTGAGCAGTACACACATCCTTTGGTTGACAACCAGCCAATGGGATATCACGTCCAATAAGCCAGAGATGGCGTCAATCAGTTGTCATATTCCAAATGAGCCTTCTTTATCTATGCTGAGATTTCACCAGCGACCAACCCGCTGGCGTCGGCTGATGCAACTTCCCACGTAAGTGAAGAAAATGATTAACACGCTCTACTACTTCACTGCATATCTTCAAACTAGGAGTCGATGTAGTCCAGTCCTAGAGCATCATTTTACTTGAATTTGACAGGAATGGGTGAATCGAGTGCCAGGCGTTCGCAGATCACAGCTCAAGGTGTTCAGTAGGCTCTGTACTTTGTCAGTGTCTTCTCCTAGAAGGACTATATCATCTGCATATTCTAAGTCGACTAGATTATTCCCTGGTAACAAGTCAGTCCCTGAGTCGCTGAAGTCAGTTAGCGTTAAGTCTACTGGTATAATATCTAGGATGAAACTAAACAGAAATGGGGACAGTAGGCATCCCCGATGGACACCTCTGGTTGTCATCACAATTTTCAGATGACAACTCTCCGTAGACTCTCATCTGGCTAGCTGAATGAGTTCGAGCAGAATGCTTTGATCAGTGCGGTGTATTTTATCGGCATTTCCTTCACCATGGTACTTCTCGGTTGACGAAATCGAATTCCGCTTTCAGGTCAAGAAATATGGTAATTGTTGGATGCTGGTGAGTATGCACATGTTCCAGAATCTGTCGAAGGCTAAAGATATTATCAACACATCCTACTCCTGGTCTAAAGATCTTTTATTATAGCCTAATTTCATATCACACAGTGGTACGGCATTATTTATTAAGGTAGTTCTGTTCTCACCCCATGACTTCAGTCGTAATACTTCATTAGAGATTTCATGTATAGCGCTTTTGGAGCATTTCTTCTAGGGCTTGATCCGTTGAAAATAGACTCGGCTATCAATATATTCCTCTACCTAAGAACTATATTACACTTTAGTACTGTTGATCTCACTCAGCCTATTGCATACTTGAGTGCTACTGCATACATTACAACAGATGATGTTTTTTCACACACACAAATTCCATCTGATGAATTTGAACATAGCAATAACAACAACATATGCAGCAGGGTAAGGCGAACCTTGCATCGTTATCTTTTCAGCTGCATTCATCCTAATTTTTTTAAATATTTAACTCCTTTGAGTTCCGAGTCGAACCAAGGGTATCAAGCTTGAGCTTTGAGTTTTCAGTAGCGGCGATGTCATTTCTACGTGGTGAGGTTGCTAGCCTAATGCCCAACCTTCCGTCGTCACTGGGCTTACTACCAGTCAAGAAAGGTATAGAATTACTTTGACTGGCGATTGGAACCCTGAAACACATTCGTGGTCGGTGTGGATTCCACCGCTGAACCACAGATGTATTGACACAATTTTACACCCACCGACTGGGCAGTTATACTTTGGTTTTCATCAGAACTGAATACACTCATACCTACTACTTGCAAGACCAAAACAGTATGAGATATTATCCTGTGGAGTAACCAATCGGCAGCCCTCTCCTTTAACTAAATCATACAACCTGAATACTGTGAGGTAATAATTCTGTTGCAGTCTCAACATACTTCAGTTCACTTGAGATAAACTGTAGGACGTTAATAATTATCACGTTATGTAGGTGAATCGGAAAGCTAAATTAGCAAAATATAAAATACTGCTTTACTTAACCATGTAATGCAATCGGAATTTTTCGACCAATATAAAAATTTGGGGGCAAGATAACCACCATGATATTAAGACACATAAATTACCAGATTAAGTAGAGGGTTTAAGAACTGCTAACACAAATAATAATATTACTGTTTTACCCTTGAGATCAGAGTGGAACAAAAGGCTTCAGCAACTTATCTCCGCTTTCTTGTATTTTCTACTCTCCCCTTTAGAAGGGGTCCACAATTTCCCATAGTCTCTCATCTCCTCCTCGCATAACCCCCTCCATGTCAACCTAGGACGTCCCATTTGTCGTTTCTCATTCAGGTTCCACTCGATAGTGTGTCATTCGACGGGCTCCTCAGCGTATACCCTATCCATTCCCATTCCCTTCTACATTTATGTTGGGCACTAGGCTCTTTGTTGGTTCGTTCCTTTAGTTACTTGTTGCTAATCCCTACTATATGGCCATTTGACCTTCAATATGGACCTATAGAAGGCAGCTATTGGTAAAAGTATGCAGTAGCCTGTTGGAAATGCTTTTCGTGACGTGTGCACTGCAAGTTTCCGACCCATATAGAAGAACTGACTGACTGGCTTAAAATTGTTGTTGAAAATCCGAATTGTATTGTTTAAGCCGTGCAGTGAACAAGATATCCGAAGTTATTATATAATGAAGACGATGTGTCTTGACCTTCTGATTCTGGTTTTGACATCGTTGTCCATGCCATCCGTCTGTAGTTGAGACGAAGCTGTCTAAATTAATGAAGGTGATGACCTAGCTCGAATTAATTCTATTGATAGTGATTGGTGTTTATCGTTGTTGTTGTTGGTTGGTTGGTTGATTATCTTCATCACTTCCATCTTCTCTCATGTTCACCTGAAGTCCTGTCTTCGTTATCAGTCTCTTCTTTCATTGTGTTGGTTTTCACCTATAAGTCTTCCAGTTTGTGATATCGGAAATAAATCCTCCGAGAAGTCCGGATTTTCTATTCTTCAAATCGGTCCACCAAAGCTGTAAATCTCCATCATACACATATATCTCGCGAACAAGAGAAAACACATTTTAACAAAGGTGTAATATAAAACTTATAGTGCCTTGAAACAAATAACATTAGTTACTCCCGTAACGACTAGTCACCATATCCATTCCAGTCTCATATGAAGTCAATCGTCAGTCTGAATAGTTCAATGGTAATATCCCTGACTGACAAGTCTTTAATTCCCAGAGAATAAACTTTCTTTCTCAAAGCTGCAGATGCACTCTGCTGACGAGTGCCAATAAACACGAAATCAAAGTCCACAGCTTCCTGCCAGTTACCGTCAACCATCTAAAGTACTTTGATTTATCATATCTTACTCGGTGGCAATAACCTCTGATAAATTGTTGGCATTTAAAATAACACGTACAAATCTCCTTTACGTGTTCGATGAAAAGATACAATAGGAGAGACTTTATCAGGAAGCAGCCGAAACCATAATCGATAGTTTAAGTCATTATGAGGAAGCAGATTTTGTGATAAGTTGATTGGGCAATCTCTGACCACATGCCAAATTCTGGACCTTAAAAAATCACATGCTCGAAGTTATTCAACCATATAAGTTATTCGACTAGTGAGTATATATATATATATATATATATATATATTGTCTAATGAGGTTGTTGTTCTCATTGGAAAAAACGAGTCTTGTGTACTGACATTTCCGTGGCTCAGTGCAGCAGAAGGCATTTGAGAGAAACAGAACAGGATCGATGACGAGCTGACATCATTTAGAGAACCACTGGAAAACCTGGAGTACTGAACGGCTATCTCCTCCTAGTTTGAGACTCTTCATCAGTACTCACCCACCACCGGGGTTCGAACTCAGGACCTCCTAGTGACGAGGTAAGCTCGTAGAAAATTCAGCTACTGGGACTCGACCTAATGGTTCATGAATTCTGCTTATTCGAGATAGATATTTATTTAGTGCAATAGACAGCCAGTGTCACAAACAAGTAAGCATCCTCTTGCCTGACTTCGTGGAACGCGTTGGTTATGACTTTTCGCAGAATAGTTGTATTCGATATTCAGTTGACCTGCCTATTACATTTCGGTGTTGTTATATTTACTCAGGCTCAACAGTTGGCAACGAGCGTAAATCCCAGTAACATTATCCACAGTTATATCAGACTACTTTCCTGAATTTTATATTCTAAAATATAATATCAGAAAAATTATAATGCAGTAATGTAGATGTGGAAGTGTTGAATACTACTACTAATAATATAAGTCTATTTATTAGTATTACTGTTCCCTTGGGTTCAGAGTAGAACACACGGGTTTAACAGCACACTGACATTTTCCCGTATTCTCTACGGTCCTCTTTAGATGGCCCTACGGTTGTCCATAGTCTCTGATCTCCTCCTCGCACTATCTCCTCCATGTCACCCTTAGAGCGAAGCCTAGCTCGCTGCTTCCCATTCGGGTTCCATTCGATGGCCTAGCGCGCAATGTCGTTTGACGGTCTCCTCAGCGTCTAGCCAATCTGTCTCAACTTTCTTCGACATATTTGTCGAGCGACAGGTTTCTATTTGGTTCGTAGCCAGCTAGATTTTTCTCGTTGCTAGTTCTTTCTGGACATTTGATCCTTCAACATGGAGTCATCGAAGGCAATTGTTGATAAAAATCTGTAACCTGTTGAAAATGCTATTTAGAATAATAAATTTCTTGACTAATATAATATATTTAATGAATCAGTTATTTAATTATTTATTTATTCTGTTTTTCATTCAACGTTTTAGATGGATAATCATCTTCGAAACTATTTTTCATATCAGGATAAACAGGAAATGCAGTTGATTTCTCATTAGACTGTTGCTGGCTACTAGTTTGCTCTGATTTATTCTCTTGTAGTAAACCTTGTCTAATCATTTCTAAGCGTTCTTCATTATGCTTTGCCTAGGTAAATTGGTTCAAGAAAAAAAATAATAAAAACAGGAAATGTAATTTGTTATTTGAGACAGAATAAGTCTAGCAGGATATACCATAAATAATTTTTAAAAATGCAATACATCATATTTGTGTGAATTTCACACAAAGAAGCAGAAGCAAGGGTTAATACGATTAAAAGAACACCAGTGTGGCGTGTATTACTGACAAGATTCATCAGTAGTATATAGATGCAAATTGACACGAAGCGGCCAAAATTGAAATCAACATTTTTACTCAATGGATGCAGAGGTAGGAGCGCTTAGAGGATATCATCATGAGCTGACATCTGTTAGTGAAACATTCGAAAATCTGGCAATATTGAAAAGCAATCTCGTCCTGGTTTGGGACTCTTTATCAGGATGCGTCCACCGATCCAGTGGTTCAAGAATTATAACTTCCGCCAATTCACAGTCAGGTCCCAGTGGCTGAATAATCATAGAGCTCGCCCAATAACCAGAAAATCCAGGATTATAACCCTGGCGGTGGGTGCGTACTGATGAAGAGTCCCTAACTATAATGAGACACCTGTCCAGTACTCCCTGCAGGTTTTCCGATGATTCTTTAACGGATGTCAGGTCATGATGAAATCCTGTACTCAATCGAATCCTTGTAAACCAGCACTTGAGTAGAAGTGTTTATTCCTCAAATCTGGATTTAGTTTACTATGTAGACATGAAATAATCTTATTGGACAAGTTTTCGTCTCATGGTTTAACAATAGTTCAATCACCAACCAACCAATCAGAACAATTTCTTGTTCACTGGCCTGATATTGCTAATATTACCTAGCACTTCAGCGACTCAGGGACTGGCTTGTTACCAGGGAATAATAATCTCGTTGGCTAAGAATATGCAAACGATATAGCCCTCCTTCCTAAGTGAAGACGCTGACAAAATGCAGAGTCTGCTGAACACATTGAACAGCAGCAATCTTCGAATGTTTGGCATGCAATTCACTCGTTCCTATCACATGTAAGGTGATGCTACATCACTGGAGTACACCGACTCATAGCTTAAAGTTGCATCCGACAACGCCAGCGGGTTGATCACCGAGGGAATCTCAGGGATTCGTCAACTGATGCCATCTCTCGCTTAGTAGACGTGATATCTCGTTGGCTGGCTGTCGACAAAAGGACGTGTGTACTGTTCATCAGTTCGCTCCGTCCTCGTTTATGGCTGTGTTAAATGGTATGGTAGTGCAAGTAATATTGAGGTTAGGCCTCCATTGAGTGCTAGGTAAGGAGGGAAAATCTGTCGACGAGATTGTGAATTTATATCGATTGAGATGATTACGACATTCTGTGCCTAACCATCGCCATCCTCGACAGGCAATGGTAGCAGACATAAAGTCGGTGAGGTTAGAAAAGAACTAGTGGTGGTCAAACCCAAAAACAACATGTCTTTATCAATCAATGAAATCCACAGCAGTTCGTTTGAGCCAGCCAGCCGGCCACGTAGAGAGGTAGGTGTAGACTTCGTGACTGGTTGACGTCCTCGGGATGGTAGACACTTGATGGTGGTATGGCTCAGAATTGTCGTTGTCAATAGCTGGGTGAGATGCATTCACTCGTTGTGGTTTGTCATATGCAATAAAACTCTGTTGTTCTTCACATTACTTACTATTCTTTTCCCCCTCACTTGCTAATACTTCTGTTTATTATCTATCTGTGCTTTGAATCTCTCTTCACTGTCTTCTCTTAGTTTGTGTGGTATTTGGAGGGAGAGTGTGTCAATTGGAACTGGTCCACATCTGTGGAAAGTTCTATGTTGAAACCAGTCAATCAGTTAGTCAGTCGATTGAAGCCATATCAAGCAATGTTGCTATAGTATTATTTGTATTTGAAAAGATTCCCAGGTCACATTCGAAGCTGGTTAACCACCATCTCACATACTGTACAATCTGCATTTATCAACAACATGAAATTAGACTGATACTTATTTCAAAAAAATAAATAAATAAAAAGTGATGAAGGAACATTAGAAACAGGCACTGGAATTTTTTTCACACAACTGCAAAAGTAGAAGGCATAAAAGGTAAGACATTAGACTTCAAACGATATCCCTCGCCTGGAAGAAAACATATCTCAGTCACAAGTCCAGTAATTCCATGAAATTGTCGACGAACACTGGTGAGTGATCAAAAACTCGAATCAATTAATATATGAGTGTTCAAGTGACGTTCTCTAGCTGCTTACCAATAAAGCTATCATAAGTAACCTCGTAGTATACACAAAGTATCCATTAAATAAAAACTATGGATGTGATACACAAACACATATGTGAATGACTGTTTACCTCTAATTCTGCAGCTCGAATAAGACGTTGCTGTTTAGACAGATTATTAGCCTCAATTTCTTCTTTAGTTGGTGGATCAGAACGTCGATGATTAAGCCATGACTGCCATTCAGGAGGTAAAGACGGCGTCTCTTGAAAAATAAAAGGGAAAAGGCAGAGAGAGTGAGTGAGTAAGCGCACTTTAATTTATATGGTTAAATATGCCTACTTTTGTGTGCTATACAATTACCATTTTACCGCCTCCTTTCATATCAAAAAGTCGAAAGTTAAGAAAATGAAACACCCTCTCATATGAAAAAGAAGAAAGTTTGTGTTTGTCCTGCATTCAAAAGAAAAATAGTTTTAGATGGTTGGCGGCAATTGCTAGGAAGCCTTGGACTTAGGTTTCGTGATTGTTGGAATTAGTTATTGTTTCCAAAGATGCGTCATTAGAATGGTAAGTTTTAGATAACAATTACGCATAAAAACATTATTCCAGTAGAAACTTAAATAAAATTATTATATTATTATTTTTTCCTTCAGTTCCTAGAGGAACATAGGGCTTCAGCCGCTAGTCTCCACTGCGTTCGGTTCTCCGCCAACGTTCTCACCTGGCTCCACGTCTGCCCACATGCTGACATCTCCTCTTCACATCACCTCCTTTTATGTCACCCCCGCACTAACGACCAACTCGTCACTTCCCTTCGCGTTCCACTCGAGAGATGACCTGGCGTGTGATGTCACTTGATGGTTTGTTTTCTCAGAATATGGCCAATCCATCTCCATTTCTTCCTGCTTATTTGTTGCACAATCGGTTCCTGGTTGGTTCGCTCATTGCCAGAGATCCCTATTGCTGATCTTTTCTGGTCATCTGATCTTGAGTATTGAGCGAAAACAGCTGTCGATGAAGGTCTGTAGTTTGTTTGAGATGCTCTTTATGACACGCCAAGTCTCTGAACCGTATAGTAACACTGACTTCACATTGGAGTTGAAAATCCAGATCTTATTTTTGATGCTGAGTGCTGTTGAACTCCACGCAGACTTGAGAGTAATGAAAGCTTGTCTTGCTTTCCCGATCCTTGCTTTGATATCCTCGTCCGTGCGTTACATTTGCTTAGCTACGTAAAACTATCGTTTCTCCAATGTTTCTGGCTAAGAAGTTGTGGAATTTAATGTAATTCGTTTACCTTCGAAATCTAAATTTGTGGATCTAATCTTGTTGACTATCAATACCTTTAACTAACTGTTTGGCATTTTTTGATTGTTTAACGCTAACTAATATCTATGATTGTATATAGTATTGGATTTGAATGCCCGAGTTGACCTCAGTCAGTGAGTCTTTGGTTTTGATAACATTTTTGTTAACTGTACTTGACAGTGACACTACTGCTACGGGTTTTTATTGTTGTTGTCGCTGCGTTTCCTGCTGTGAATTTTTTTCTTTCTTATTTTCCAGATTCTAAAGGTAGCAATGTAAAAAGTCGCTCTTCTGTAAATAACATAATAATAATAATAGCTTTATTCCAAACAGTATTTGTGGTACAGGTATGGAATTTTCAGCGTGAATTACAATATTGCATCTAATTGCTTCATAAATTTTATAAGATTTTAAAAATAAAAAGCAACAACAACAAAAAGAAAAAAGAAAAGAAATAAAGAAGAACGGAATTGCATTCACATATTTAAACAATGCACCACAGGATATGAAATATAAAATTAGTGTGTAATAGAATATGTGAGCAACAATGTAATAGTAACAAAGAAAGGAGAACAAAAGCTAATAAGAACTATTTGTCAGAGTGTCGCAGTAAGTTGATCGTGTCATACCTAACGGATTTCTCATCACATAACAGCTGTGCCAGATAAGGTATTGTGGAATTTTTGTACTTGGTAGTCCTGGCATATAGCCTCCTATAGTTCCTTCTAGTTCTACCAGATGAAATGCAAGGAGAGATCTGCGTATAGAGGTGTTCGGGGTCTGACAATATAGAATTCGCTAGTTTCTTACATGACATTATATGTCTATCCACAATGGTGGTTTGACGAAATCCCACTTCTCCTATTAACAGCTTTTAGTGCCCTACCCAGCAAAACAAATTCTTCCTAAGGTAGTCCAGGAAAGATTAATGGGGAGCAGTAAAGAGGGATGGGTAGAATAAAGGAATTGACAAACTGAGAAAGCAAGGACTGCTTTATACCAGACTGCCTAAACTTCCTAACGTAGAACGTTAAGCGAAACAGCTTTCTAGTCACTAACAAGATGTGAGAGGACCAGGATAGATCGGAGGAAATATTCAGTCCAAGGTACTTGACATTAGATGTAGTTTCAACCTCTATGCCGTCAATGATAGTGGGACCATGTGAGCTAGCTAGTTGTTGAAGATCACTTTTTCGTCTGAAAGTAAAATTTACTACCTGACATTTAGACGGATTCAGCTTAAGACCGTTTGAAGAGGACCACTGAATAATTTCCGACAGACAGTTATTTAATTTGGAACAATCCGACTGAAAGTTAACAGGCATGTAAACAGAGAGGTCATCAGCATACTTAAAAAAAGTGGCTACATCAGAATGGGGCAAGTCATGTAAGAAAAAAGAAAACAGAAAAGGAGAAAGAACAGCACCTTGAGGAACACCAGCTAAAGTAAGTGAGGTAGTGAAGGACTTTCCATTGTAGACGGTGTACTGCTTCCTATTAGAAAAATAGGAATGCAACCACTTATTTATCCAGCTCTCACTCTGTGTTGCAGCAAGCTTACTTAGCAAGAGAGACCTAGGTACAGAGTCAAATGCAGTTGTGTAATCAAGGAAGGCTCCTCTATCTAAACTAGAGACAATATTATGATATAGAACAACAGCGACATCTAAGGTACACCTACTATGTTTATAAGCAAACTGGTTGGGGTCATTGAAAGGCTTTAAAGAGGGTTCAAGATTAAGTAAAATAAGTCTTTCCATAACTTTTAAAAAAGGTGAGGTAATAGCAATCGGTCGACACTTAGCAGTAGGTTCACTGAAACAACCTTGATATTTTTCCATGAGTCAGGAATAATACTTTTGGAAAAAGATTCATTGAAAATGTTGGTTAATGGGTAACATAAGATGTCAGCACGCTTCTTAAGGATAACAGCAGGAACTCCATCAGGACCAAGGGACTGAGTAGGTTTATGTAACAACCCCCTTCCCTGTAAACAAAACTGCTACAGACACTTCAGTACGAATGAGTTTCTTTGCGACATAAGAAAAAGTCTGTGTGAGGATATAGAATGTCCGCACTATATATGAGACCGGCAAAGCTGCCCAGATTTCAAAATGAAATTAAATAAGTAAATAAGATAACGTAACATAATTGATAGGATTGAGCAAAACTTCACTAAAATTTACAAGAACTCGCAAACTAGCTTCTGAATCGTCTACAAGGTAGGCGAAAATCTAGAAAAAGAGGTAGGAATAAAACAGCTTCAAACCACAGAATTTATGGAAATGCACATACCAAACCTGAACTCTAAAGAAGGTTGTTCAAGTATTAAACCAACAATGATCAAGATTGGGGACGTAAACATTGATATAAATTGGTGTCTACAATTTTGGCTTGCAGACAGCTCTCACCACAATAATAATTTGCTTTATTCCAAAAACAGTACTTAGCATACAATGTGGAATTTTCCTCATTTGGTACAATGTTGCGTCTGATTTACTCGACAACAGGCAAAACGAATACAGAAATAATATGAAATTATTGGTATTGACAGTTTTTTGGTATTTGCAGTGACAGCAAAGTCAAGGACGTACAAAAACTGTAAAATAATGATAATAATGTCAATAGCTAAATAATTTTAGGTTTGCTGAAATAGTGTAATCATAGATTACAAAGAGGAGAGGATAAAAGAGCCATCTATTTCACTAATCACACATAATAAGCTATAAATTTCCCGCTTAACACTATCTCTGTCACATAGAACGCCAGCGAAAACTGGTATCGTTGAGTTTCTGTAGGTGGTTGTGCAAGCGAGCATATAATCTTTTATAATGACTTCTAGTCCCATTGATATAAGAAGAGAACTTGTGCACTGTAGTAGAGTATAATTCCATTGTGGGTAAAATTTATTTTGATACAGTCTCACAGTGTTATACAGTAAATATTACCAGTCCAGTATTTATCAGTAAATATTACTGTACAACACTGTGAGACTTTATCAAAATAAATTTTACCCACAAGGGACTTCTAATCCCACCTGATGAGATTTAAGTGTGGAGAGAGTTGAGAATAGAGTGAGTGTTGAGGGTTAGACAATATGGATTTAGACCACATCTCACATGAATTCAGGTGTCTATCAACCACTTGCCCTACTGACAGCCCTTAATACTCTTCTCCTCATTTAAATTGTAAGCATCACCTAGTTTCCGGTTTACGTCATCACCAGCACTTGATATTTAATATTTACTAATCCAAAAAGTCTACGTCTCAAGGGAACAAATGCTTGTAATAGTGGCATTACCAGGGATTTCCTTGATATGCGTTATGAGGTGGACATCACAAAATCAATAGACAAAATAGCTTAATTCTTCTCAATGTTACCGAAAAAATCGCATATCAAACGCCTGAAACCTGATGCACGTGTTCAGAAAGAAGCAGTTATCAGTTTTTCCTTGTCCTGGAACTGGATGTCTTTATTCTCTCTTTCATTTTATTATGTAACGCTGAAAATTCCATTCCGTGTGACTGTTGTTGTTTGGAATAAAGTGATTATTATTACCATTGTATGCATACACTGATTTTTCGTTTAAGCTTGAATTCTCCGGGTAAGTTAGTACTAATTATGCGAATAGGCTGCAAGTAGCTGATGAGAAGCCAACGAAAATAACGATAGTATCACCTAATTCTGCACAAACTATTGCTCTTACTTTATTCAAATTCATAAAGGGGAATAAATGTAGGAAAGCCTAATTCTTTTAATTTTTCCCTCTTCCACGACTACACTTCTACTCTTTATAAAAGTGATCTTAACTTGATCCTCTTTCAATTCCAGGTGAGCTCTTATCAATCCTCAGAAATATGTCACGTGACCTAATTTACTTATTTAATTTTCAAGCATTGGTTTATTTGGGATTTGATTGGTTGGTTACAGGATTTCATCATGAACTGATATCGGTTAGAGAACCATTGGAAAACCTGCAGGGAGTACTGGACAGCTATCGCATCCTAGTTCGGGACTCTTCATCAGTACGCACCCACCACCAGGGTTCGAATCCAGGCTCTTCTGGTTATTAGGACAGCTGGTAGACCATTCACCCACTGGGACCCGATCCAATGGCTAATGCATGAATTCCAGCTTGTGCCAATACACGACATGGCGCAACCCCTAGCCAATGTCTTTGGCGAGTATTTGTCCTCACGCCCAACCTTCTGCACCCTACTGGTCACGACTTCCCACTAGGACGCCAGGTAAATACCTACCTGAATAGGACTAGTCGCATCTCATCGATTATCAAGTACTGGTTTGTAGGGATTTGATTGATTGATTAGAGGATTTCATCATGAGCTGACATCGGTTAGAGAAGCACTTACTTTAGCTTCTACACGATAAATGCTTTCTTTTTATATTAGGTAATTGCTATTTAAAACATAAAATTCTATTGACACATCTTTGGAAGCATTCCTTTTATTGCTGTGAAAATATACTGTATATTATTCAATTATACAGCTTGAGAATGATATCACTAGAAAGAGTATCTTTTCACTGAACACCTCTCTTTTCATGTGACTAAATCGAGGGTGGGGGTTGAGGTTGAGAACAAGCTAATTAAAAGAAGGAGTAGAACGACATTACTCTGCAGCTAAGCTTGTATCGATATACAGAATTACATACACCTACACATGCACTTGCTCCAGCAATTAAATAAGAAGAATAAAAAGGAGGACTTCTATCCTATTTTCTGAGAATATTCCAAAAGACTCATACCTATAAACGAAGCACATATTTAGAAAGTGCAATTACCAGACGTATCACGGATACGGAAAAAAAAATTTCCAAAGTGTGTAAAGAACACCAAATTTACCACGATCTTCCAAAGCGATTGCAATCAAACACTTTCAAAACAAACCACTTTTGCACACAGAAAGAGAGTGTGATCAATTTTTCACTTCACTGATAGCTGCATTTGAATTTTGTTTACATTGATTGTACAATAATCCATACTCTTAGTGAGTTCACCTCACTCAGGTAATTTGAATCTTTGAAAATTTAATTTTCTTGAGTTGCTATGTAACCCTATAAGTTAACACTGTTTCTATGTATATTTCTGTTTTCTGTCTTCTCCCCCCCCCAGTCATCTTGTACTATAAAACGCATATAAATGGGTGGTGACTTAAACCGAAAACTATGTGATGCTTACAATTTAAATGAGGAGAAGAGTATTAAGGGCTGTAAGTAGGGCAAGTGGTGTGACACTAAGTCAGCTCGTTACTACAGTAGTTGATGGACACCTTAACTCATATGAGAAGTGGTCTAAATCCATATTGTTTCATCCTCAACACCCACTGTATTCGCACCTCTCTCCACACTTAAATCTCACCAGGTAGGACTAGAAGTCCCTTGTGGGTAAAATTTATTTTGATAAAGTCTCACAGTGTTATACAGTAATATTTACTGATACTTACTGTACTGATAATATTTACTGTATAACACTGTGAGACTTTATCAAAATAACGTTTACCCACAATGGAATTATACTCTACTACAGTGCGCAAGTTCTCGTCTTATATCAATGGGACTAGAAGTCATTAAAAAAGATCATATGCTCGCTTGCACAACCACCTACAGAAACTCAACGATACCATATTTAGCCAGCGTTTTATGTGACAGAGATAGTGTTAAGCGGGAAATTTATAGCTTATTATGTGTGATTAGTGAAATAGATGGCTCTTTTACCGCTACCATTTGTAATCTATGGTGACACTAATTCAGTTAACCTATAATTTTAGGTATTAACATTATTTGTAAAATGCATTTAGAAGAAATTTCTCGAGATGATATCGTCATTTCGTAGTTTCTTTACAACCGCTTTACAACTAACATGGTTAAAAGTAATAAAATAAAATGCATGACAATTACTCAGTTAAATAAAAACAAAAACACATACTAATGACCAATCATATTTAAATAGGTCAAGTAGTCCATGGTAGGAGAAGATTGAAGTCTATTGTTTTTTTGTACACACAGTTTAGGCTGTATGTGATTAATCCAAAGTGCTTCCATCACCTTCAATAACCTTGAATTAGAGATATGTGAAATAATTGTAGAGCCGTCATTAATTAATATTGATTTTGTGACCTGACATTAATAAGTGTTTTGCAATGGACGATGTTGAATTTCTATTCAGATTAATTGCATTGAGATTTTCTATGTTTCAATAACCATTTTGAAACATGTTCTTTTCCATAGCGACATTGGAACATTCTGTTGGTTCTACCTATATAGGTGGCACCGCAGCTGCAGGTGAACTTGTAGATACAGTTTGAAGTAGAGTCCACAGAATTTCGTCCTTTGATCGTAAGTACAGGGATCGAAAATGTTCGGCAAATGAGAAAAAGAGATGTGGCGTAGAATGTGCGTTTGATGGCTGACCGCAGTCTTTGAGCTGTCAAGTGCATAATCTGGTCACCCTTGAATGGTAGGTTAATAAAGATAGCTTTCTTTGGTACAGAAGCTGTCTTTTCTAGATGTTGAAATAAGAACATGTGGTGATGTGGTCTTTCTTGACTGTGACAAGTGATAAAGTTTTCCGGATAACCATTAGCTAATAAAACTGAATGTATATGTCGAAACTCATCCATCACTGTGTCACTCGTACATATTTTTCAGTCCCTTGAGAACAAACATTTCACTAGGGAACGTTTATACTGTTTTTTATTTAACTGAGTAATTGTCATGAACTTTATTTTATTATTGTTAACCATGTTAGTTGTAAAGCGGTTGTAAAGAAACTACGAAATGACGATATCATCTCGCTAAATTTGTCTTCTAAATGCCTTATTCAAATTTATCAAAGGGACTAATTGTTTTAATTAACATTATTATCATTATTTTACAGCTTTTGTACGTCTTTTACTTCACTGTCACTACAAATACCAAAAAACTAACACTATCAATAGTGTAATATTATTTCTATATTCGTTTTACCTGTTGTCGAGTAAATAAGACGCAACATTGTACCAATTGCGGGAAATTCCACACTGTATGCTAAGTACTGTTTTGGAATAAAGCAAATTATTATTATTATTATAAACATTGTTGCAAGTTTCACACTACCTTAATCCTACCTCGACACTAACCCTGAATCAGGATGAAACTTACAACGAAGATTATGAAAGGCATTCACTACTAATGTTGAACGATCGGATTGGTTAGTTCAGGGCCATTTGACTGTGGTATCTATTCTTTACTCTTGCCATTACGTATATTATTGGCTCACAATTTGACTTCCTTTACGGTTAGGTGTAGTATTACGGCTTGAATACAGGAATTAGCATTAGATTTAGAGCTTGTCTAGTGTGAAACAGATTTTTATAGTGATTAAGTTTGTTTCCATTCGTTAGTATACTTTTTTAACTGTTGGCGTATTTTCAGCATGTAGCTATTCTGATTGGTTGTTTCAGGTCGTTCTGTTGGCCGTTGCTATGGTTCGTGATACACAGTATCACCCAATAAAATTGAAATAATGGTAGAGAAGACAACACGGGACCGTGACTTCAAAGGTGTAGATATATATACACACAAAAAACAAATCTACTTGAGGTGTAAATAAAAGTAGACACGAATGACTGAACACACACAATTCAACTTGAATGACAAGGTATCTTATCATCAAATTTACTTACCAATATACGTATTCATAAATGCATCTTCCAAGCTTTTTTGTCCAGGGATAAGATAAAATCGTTTAGGTAATTTTGATAAATGTGTGTGTTCACTAGCCTTATTCGGTGGGGCTTCAAAATATCGAATGCCTGCATCATCAGTGCCAACAAGACGTGGTCGTTTTCGATGAAACACTGTCCTCAGCGAAATGTATATTTGATGCAATATAGAGCGATGCATATTTGATGATGTCATAAATGTTCTGGAATGTATAATAAAAGATGAATAAAGGAAAACAAAGATATCAAAAGTAAACAACTAATATGAATGGATTTAATTGGTTTTAAGTAAAAACGTACTGACACTAATTAGAGCACTAGTGAAAATCAAAGAGTACTAGAGAGCTGCCTCATCCTAGTCCGGGACTCTTTAGTGGCGTGCACAGATGAAACCATCAGAGATCAAGCCCAGGTCCTTAAGATCAGGAAGTTAGTCTGTTGACTAGAGGTAGCGTCATGCATCGCCGATTGATCGAAGTTAGAAAACATGGGTCATTGGATTTCGTCCCAGTGGCTGGATAGTAAATTACTGATACTATGATAGAGCATAAAAACCATGTTGCATTAGTGGCTACTATGTATGTTACACAGAGAAACACTGTGACTTATATTCGGAGATCAACCTGTGAGTTTCAATGTTCACACACCAATATACTACGTTAACCTACGAAAAAAGATGTGAAAACCTGGGACTTTATTGAGGTACATTGCTAAAGAAATCATATTGACATTAAGGCAAAAGAAGCAGCTAGAGAAGACAGAACAGGTTTCAGGTAAACATAGAGAAGACGGATGTGATGAAAATAACCAACCAGCAGCAACAACAACAACCAGCATCAATCACTGTCAACCGGAGAAATTCGCAAGAGGTAACTTCCTTCATTTATCATGGCAACGTCGTTTCAACCACAGGCGGATGGTACAGTTGACGATGGAGAAACCAGAATCAGAAAGGCAAGGTAGATCTTTATCACTCTGAAATCCCTTTGGGAATCACCATCTGCAATCAGTATAAACAACAGAATTAGGATTTACAACATTAATTTTAAGTCGGTTCTTCTACATGGGTCAGAAACTTGGCACGTTACAGGCTACTGCTTTCACGGGTTCGATACTGAAAATCAGATAGCCAAAGAGAAATAATGACAAAAAACTCTGGCAATCAACCAATCAAGAGTCTATTGCTCAAGAGATATCCCGAGGAAAATGAAGACGTATGATAAACACTTTGAGGAAACCCTCGGATGATGTCACACACCAGGCCATCGCTCGAGTGGAACCGAGATGCACAACGACGAATCGGTCTTTCTAGGATGACATGGAAGAGACTGTGTGAAGAGGAAATGAGTAATCATGGGGCCAGCCAAAGAGAACTGCAGAGAACAGGACAGAATGGAAATATTCTGTTGAAGCCTTATGTTCCAAACGGAACCCAAAAGAAATAATAATAAGTAATTTTAAATCACACCAGTTGCCCAAGAGATGGATCGTGTGGCTTATTAGAAAATGTTTTGCCATTTAAAGCGTTGGGTGCCAGGTAGGAGTCCTAGAGAGAACACCACCCACGGGGGAACAAGTACATCCATATGACGCGTCCCATATAAGACGAAAATACGTATCTTGGATTTCACTGGAATGACTTTAAAGTTGGATTGACTAGTGACATTCATTTACTTTGAATGTTAAGATGGGTCAGTCCATTTTTCAACCTCCGTCTCTACCTACCTAGATTACTTTTAGAGAGGTTGATTACTGAGTCCTGCCTGGTTCATTGAGTCTACACCCAACACATGCAATAGGAATGACTCATTACACATACTGGAAATATGCAAAATACTACTACCAATCAAATCAAGCGATGAAAAATAATGGAATTATATAAACGAAGTTAGGAAGTTGTGTGAGTACCTTGATATGATTATGAGTACTAATAGATTGTGCTCGAAACGTCATCAGTGAACATTACTGTATAAAACTATTAGACTTTATCAAAATAAATTTTACCCATAATGGAATTATACTCTACCACAGTACGTGGCAACTCGAACTGCTGCACGTCGGTGCCAAGCTCTATGTTGAATCCAGCTACCACAGTGCACAAGTTCTATTCTTATATCAATCACTGTGTAATATTTGAAATAAACTTATCTAACATAGAATTATATTGTACCATAGTGCCTATGCGCTACACTTACATTAACAAGAATACTAAAACCATTCAATCTAAGCTACAAATCTTCTCCATGACATGCACTTGGACGGTAATTCACATGTCTCACCTCATTTAACAACAACACTAAACGTGCTAAGTTTATTCCATTATGTAGAGTCATTGCAGGTTTCTGTACGAGTGAATATTACACCGTCAAAGCATATTCCTAGATTACCACACTAAATTTGCCATTATACAAAGACAGGGAGACAGAGAGAGAGAGAAAGAGTGAAAGAACGGATTTACATAATCCACACGCAAAAGGACACAGTATGACCACTTTCCTCTGTAAATCCGAAACAACTAACAACAAAAACAGCCGGTGACAAAAGTAGCGATGATGCTAAAAATCACAATTTAACTGCTCCTGTGGAGCCAGTTACATAGGCCGTACAATTAGGCGTGTTTCTCGTCGAATTTCCGGACATCACCCTGCCTGGTTAAGCAAAGGTCAAACAAAATCTATTCGCAGCACTATTCTGGCGCATCTTGTGGAGACAGAACACAAGATTGACGTTAATCATGCTTTCAGGGTCATTTACCGCATACCTACGAATCTCAATTTCGCTTTAAGAGTTGGACTTCTAAATATTGCTGAGGCTGTGGGGATTCATATTAATAAGCCTAATTTATGTACCCAAAAGAAGTTAGTGCAGTCATTATCATTACCTTGGCAATCCAGGTTTGAATAATCCATAATTTTTGTGAAATTTCCCTAATTTTAGTTGATATTCTATTCGCTGTTGTATCTTTATTATTATTATAATTTAAGCACCTTTAATGAACTGTAATAACATTGACCATACTTTACAAATCGATATTATTTAAAAAAACTCTAATATTGTTATTAACTACTTATTGAAAATATTCTGTGTATATAAACATATATATAATTGTAGAGCCTGGAAGAGGAATTTATCGAAAAGAATATTCTTTGCTCGATTATTTTGTGTTTTATAAATCGATAGAAGTTAGAATTCATATAGGCAACTGGATTCCATCCCAGTGGTTGAATGATCAACCACCTGGTCACGTAACCTGAAAGTTTTGGCTACGATTCCCTGTGGGGTAATGCATAGGTGCGCACTGATGGAGAGTCCTGGGCTAGGACGAAACAGCTATCCAGTACTCTCTGGTGGTTTTCAAACAATGACCAAATTTGAAATTAACCAAACCTCTACAAACTATAAGTATAACACTCTGTCCAGTGTTTAGATTCATCAATTTACAATAAAATTACTAGCCTCCAAAGCCTCAGGATGGTCGGGGGTGGGTGCCTTGCGCTGCGGGTTGGCCACCCCTCCGCACACCTCTTGAAATGCTCCCATATGACCGGGCGTCTTACATAGCCTCTCCTGAGGAAGTCCTACTCACTGCCTTCACGTGGCGGAGGTGTTTTTCACCAAAGTGAGAGGGCGAAAGCGGATGTCCGGCGCTCTTCACCGGGTTGACTGTCCATTGGATGACAGTCTAGGGGAGATGGCTAAACCCTGATTCCAAACCTCAAACGACTGGCATATGAAGCTCACTGGAGCTCACCGGCAGACGTATGGACAAAGGGCTTGTTCGATGTCCTGCATGTCTGGCCCCATTCAAAAAGGCGTATGAACCGAACTCCGGTCACCGGCTGCCAATGGATAGTGGACTCCCTACTCCACTCCTACTGCCTTGTAGGTCACACTTGGTTGTGTAAAGGCTAGAGCTGCACTCTCAAACAAAAGGCCGAGCGGTTCTGGGGACATCACTCGTACCAAATTCCCATGAAATTTCATGAACTCTCAACATCAACCAAATTCCAGTACTGGTCAAACAACGTCGCCTTCAGTGGTTTGGCCACGTTCTGCGCCGACCGGATGATGATCTGGTCAAATCAGTTCTAAATCCCTCGCCATTACCATCTTGGCGATGTCGCAGGAGTGGACAGCTGAAAACATGGCTTGGTACAGTCAAGGCTGATATGGAGTGCCTGGGGCTACAAACCGTCTACGGACTCCGTCTTTGGAACAAGAATTGGATAACCCTGTCGCAAAACCTTGCATCAGATCGCCGCGCCTGGGCAACGATGACTCGAGATGTTCATGAAGCCGGCTCATCCTCCCGTAGGAGATAGCCGAAGTAAAGTAAAAGTAAGTAATAAAATTACTACAGTGGAAAGTGAATAATTCCCAACTAATAATATCTGTCAGTTGTATATGTACTGAACTGAATTTTCAGCATAGAACTTTATACAAACAGGACGTAATGCACATGCCGGTGGATCCCACTGTCAGTCACCATTCACTGAATTGCTTCAACTTAATCCCCAGATATTGTCGAACCATCTGCACAAGGAGCCAATGCGTCAACAGAGGACGGACATTACAGTTCAGTCAATTAACGAGAAAATCAAGACAGTTGAAAGCAAATCGAAAGAAAATAACAAGAATTTCAGCAAGCATGTTGATCTTTTCGGAGATTTCATTCTCAAGAGCGGCTATCCAATCGCATAGATAAAATGATTATTTAATTCCACATAATGACAGAGTAGAATTATTATTATTATTGTTTCCTTTAATTCCTAGAGGAACATAGGGCTTCAGCCATGCGTCTCCATTGCGTTCGGTTCTCTGCTAGTCTTCACCTGGCTCCAAGTCTGCCCACACGCCTTCATCTCTTCTTCACATGACCCCCTCCACTCCATGTCACCGCCGCACTGACGACCAACTCGCCGCTTCCCTTTCGGGTTCCACTCGAGCAATGGCTTGTCTAGTGATGTCACTTGATGGTTTCCTCAGAGTATGACCAGCCAATCCATCTCGATTTCTTCCTGCCTATTTGTTTCACAATCGGTTCCTGCTGGGTCGGTTCGCTCATTGCCAGAGATCTCTATTGCTGATCTTTTCTGGCTGGCCATCTGATCTTGAGTACTGAGCGAAGACAACTGTTAATGAAGGTCTGTAGTGTGTTTGAGATGCTCTTTATGACGCGCCAAGTCTCTGACTCGTACAGTAAGTAGCAGTGACTTCACATTCGAGTTGAAAATCCGGATGTTATTTTTGATGCTGAGTGCTGTTGACCTCCACACAGACTTGAGAGTAGTGAAAGCTTGTCTTGCTTTTCTGATTCTTGCTTTGATATCCTCGTCAGTTCCGCCTGTAGTTGAAACGATGCTTCCCAGGTGGATTGGTGAAGGAGGTTGTTTCTTTCAGGTTCCTTCCATTTATGCTGATTGTTGTCTGTTGTTGCTGTTGTTGCTGTTGGTGGTGTTGCCCAGGAATCTTCATCACCTCTGTTTTCTCTTTGTTCACCTGAAGTCCTATCTTTGATGCTTCTTCTGCCAACTTGTTGCTTTTCGCTTGCATGTCTTCCAGTTTGTGGGAAATCAGACATGTCATCGGTGAAGTCCAGATCCTCCAGATTTTTTGTGTGAGTCCATTTTATGCCTGTTTCCTCATTGCCCACTGTTTGTCGCATTATCCAGTCTACTGCAATCAGGAAAATCATTGGCGATAGTAGGCAGCCAGCTTGTCTTACTCCTGTCCTCACTTCGAAGGATTCCGTAAGTTTCCCGTTGTGGATTACTTGGCATGCAGCATTGTCGTACAGCTGTTGGATGAGATGTATAATTGTCGGTGGCACCCCGTAGTAGCGAAGTAGTTTCCAAATCACCTCTCGATCGACGCTGTCGAAGGCCTTTTCAAAGTCGATGAAGTTGAGATAGAGAGGTGACTGCCATTCCAAGCTTTGTTCAATGATGATCCGTAATGTGGCGATCTGATCAATGCATGACTTGTTTCTCCTGAACCCAGCCTGTTCCGGTCGAAGTTTTTCATCCAGGGCATGTTTGATTCTCTTCAGGATGATGCAGCTTAGTATTTTGCTTGGGATGGACAGGAGCATAATTCCGCGCCAGTTCTCGCATTCACTTAAGTCTCCTTTCTTTGGTAGAATAGAAGTGTTAATAATTTTCTACTTGATATGATGTACTTGAGTATAGATTACAAAGGGCTTAGAATGTAATCTATATTCACGTATATCATATCAAGTTGAAAGTTATTATTAGCTCTAATCACGTTCGCTATTATGTGAAATTAAATAATCATTCTGTCTATGTGAACTTAGGTATATAAATACCACTGTACAGCTGTTTTTGAGAATGAAATCACCGAGAAGATTAACATGTTCGCTGACATTCTTGTTCTTTTATCTCTCTCTCTCTCTAATGTTCTGATGGGTATTTTCCATGATTTAAAAATAAATTTTCAAAGTTAGCACACTTGATAAAAGTGAACATAAAACAGAAAAATTCAAAACAAAAAACTATAATAAAAACGAGAATGTACGAGATGGAGAATAGTTGTATGGAGAATAATAAGGGTTCAATGAATATTCCTTGAATGGCACATAGGGCTCCATGCCTGAAGACTTGAAGTCTCAATAGTCAATAGTGCTGAGGTTGCTAGCTTCACAACCAACCTTCCATTTTTTCAAAGCTAACTATCGTTTCATAAACAGCTAGGCGGCCTAGAAGCATATCGATCGGGAATCGAACCTCGGACCACAGGCGTGACTGGGGAGCATTCAAGCAATGAATCACCGGTACACATCTAGAAGATTACAGAGAGTGAATGCACTGGGTCATTGAAAAAGATTTTTGGATCATGCCACCAATAATCTCCAGCCATTCAATCTTAAAGTATCAAGTGTCCAAATAAAGTGGCCTACACATCGCTCAAACCATTAGTCAAAAACTCTATGAACTCTGACCACTCCTAAATCTTTGTTTGTTTATCTCCAACGTTAAATACATACTCTAGACTGAAATGAATGTGAACATGATAACTCAGGGACATCTTAGTTTGGGAAACATTGGCAGTACGCACCCACCGCTAGGGTTCGAACACAGCACCTTCCGGTGACAAAGCAAGCTCGTATACCATTCAGCCACTGGGACCCGATTCAACGGCCCATGAATTCTATGAATCTGATACTCGCTAGTGACTTGCTACAGGACGGAGTTTCCTGGAGTTCTAGTGAGAGGTTATAACCGGTGAGGTCCAACCAGTCAAGTGTGAGGATGGATGGATTTCCCACCGTTGACATCGGTTGGTGTCAGTCGCGCTAAATCACGAATTGGTAGAAGTTAGAATTTATGGGCCAGCCATTGAATCGGGTCTCAGTGACTGAATGGTATATAAACTTGCCTTATAACCGGAAGGTCCTTGGTTCTCAAACTAGGATAAAACAGCTGCCCAGTACTCCAGCGCTGGTTTTCAATGGTTCCCTAACTGATGTCAATCCGTGGTCAAACTCGTAAAAAACAAATTTAATCCTTACAAACCAACTCTTGAAGACTCAAGAACAGACAAACTGTTTGGAAAATCCTTCCTGGAAGATCTATTTATAATATTTATACTTATTTAGACATTTTAACTAACTTTGTAATTACTGGACATACCTCCCCTGTGCATCATTAATTTGACATTTGCACATCACATGTTGATTTTTAACCTTTATTATTTGCCTTTGTCCTTGTTTAATCTCTGTGTTTGTGTGTATATTGACCATGTGTTGTTAAACGATATGAGTTTGTTTGAGTAAATGAATTTCACTCTGACCCAGGAAGTTTTGATGTTTGGTTCTTGTGGACAGAACTTTTGATCCCACCTCTTTGGGAATATTCTCCTCCTCGATTCTAAGGTACTTTTTGCAAGTAAACTCTGGTCAGCTCATTTTGTCTTACAGTAGTTGTTTTGTATTTAAAAAGATACATTGCCTGTATAGCTGGTTGCCTCAACGCACTGTTGAGGTATATTTGAGTTTCGATGTTATTATTGTTTAATTGAACCGCTAAACTACTGAAGAATAACCGTCTTTTCCCCTCTTTTGGAACGCTTCGTGATAGCGCATATTTCAGCGAAGTAAAACGTAGAGATCGGTATCTTGCGTTCAGACCACAACCGAGTAAATTTATTGATATAAGAATAAAACTTGGGCACTGTGGTAGAGTGTAATTCCATTATTGGTAAAATTTGTTTTGATAGAGTCTCACGGTGTTATACAGTAATATTTACTGATGACGTTTCGAGCACAATTTATTGCTCATAATCATATCAAGGTAATCACACGACTTCCTAAATTCATTTATATAGTTCCATTGTTTTGCACTTGATTTTCACTTGATTTGATTGGTAGTATTATTTTCCATATTTCAGGTATGAGTGATGATTCATTCCTATTGCATGTGTTGGGTGTAGATTCGATGAACAAGGATTCAGTAATCAACCTCTCTCTCCACCTACCTAAATTACTTTTTCGAATTTTAACCCTCTCCCACCCTACTGTGTGGTTGTGTGTTAATGCATGCATTGCAATTGCGGAGCTTTTTTCTAAATTACTTATCTTCTCTGGGTCAACCATTCTTACCTTAGCTAAATTCTTATGTTCTGGCAATCTGACTACCCCTGACCTGCTAGTTTGACCTATGTACTTGACCTCACAGTCATTGCAGGGTATTTTGTAAATTATATTATTTTGTCTAATTGGGTCCACTGGGTCCTTTAACCTACAGAGCTTGTCCCTGAGTGAGTTTGTAGGTTTAAATGCCACCCTAATTCCTGCTTTATTTAGAATCCTACGTAGGGTCTCAGATGTCCCCTCTTTATATGGTATAACTGTAGATGACTTATATTCTCTCTTATTTATGTTATTATTACTAGTTTCACAATTCTTTTTATTTTTCTTTTGGCCTTTTTCAATCTTCCTAATGAATTTTAGAGGATAGTTATTTAAAACCAACGCCTCTTCTATCTGTTTTATTTCATCATTTAGGTCTTTTTTTGTGCTACTTAGTGCCATTGCTCGGCTTGTTAAACACTTAACTAAGCTTGCCTTAACAGTTAAAGGATGAGATGAATTAAAGTCTAAATATCTATTAGCCGAATGCGTTGGTTTTCTATAAACACTAGTGTGTAGTTTGCCTTCTTCTATTCGTTTTATTTTACAATCTAACATAGCTAATTCTCCTTGCTCATTTTCAGCTTCAAATGTGAATTTTATTCCCTCCACTAGTGAGTTTATATGTGTCAAGAAGCTAGAGATATGTTCTGTTTTTAACACTGTGAAAGTGTCATCCACATATCTCCACTATATTTTTGGTGTAGGATTAAACGTATTAAGTGCCATATTTTCCCAGCTATCCATAAATATATCTGCTACGATAGGGGATTTTGGTGATCCCATTGCTACATCTTCAGTTTGTCTATATATTTTGCCTTGGAATTTAAATATAGTATATGTTAGGCATAGCTGAATCCCTAAAATAATTTCTTCAATGGACAGCTTTGTCCTATGATTGAGTTCAGGATCCACAGTTAGTTCTTTTTTAACTGCTTCTAAGGCCATATTGACTGGTATATTAGTATAAAGACTTGTTATATCAAAACTGACCATTGTTTCATCATTATCTAGTTGTATGTCATTTAGTTTATTTTTCATTTCATATGAATTAGTTAGTCTAGAATTTGAACGATCTCTAATGGGGCATAATATTAGAGCTAAATGTTTTGATAATTCATATGTAGGGGTATTTCTAAAATCTACTATTGGTCTTATGGGATAACCTGGCTTATGTATTTTAATAGTACCATACATCCTTCTAGCATTATTAGTTTTAGGCATTAAATTAAACCATTTTGACTCACCCAGTGACGGCTTCATTCTGCGTACTAATTCCGCTGTGGATCTTTTAACCTTATTCATTATTGTATCTACGGGCTTCTTAATTTCCTCATATGGACCCATTTCAATATGTTCAGTGACTTTCTTGATGTAGTCAGATTTATTCAAAACTACGGTGGCGTTTCCTTCGTCAGCTTTTGCGATGACAATATTTCTATCCTGTTTTAGATTAATTAAAGCTTCTCTTTCCGATTATGTCAAGTTTGATTTTGCCTTCTTTTGATTTTTTAGGGTTAATGCACATTGTGCTCGAACCTCTTCTGCTGTTGTTTTATCTATTGAACCTAGTGCTACTTCTATGTTAGGAATGACATCCTCTGGTTTCAATTTATTAACTGTTACGTTGAAATTTAGTCCTTTCTCCCGTACTTTTATCTCACTGGAGCTTAGTTCCCTTGATGAGAGGTTGATCACCCACTTTGTTTTGTCGATAGAGGATGAAGCATTGACATCAATTTCATTTGCTGTGTTCTTTTCTTCAATAAGTTTGTTGAATTTTTTGATTTGTGTTTTTTATTTTCTTAATGCAGATTCTCTAGCTTTTTTGGATGTTTCAAGAATAATTGTATAATCTTTGTCATTGATCATATATTTGAGTTTGTGTTTGAGTTTTTCAATCTCATTTCGTATATTATTTAGTTTCACAGTAACTCGATGTAATTCTTCTCTTAGACATAATCTACTGACATTTTCGGCAGCTGATGTTATTTTACTTGAAGTAATTGGAGTACGTAGACGTAAATATTTCGGAATTATATGATTTTTTAAACATCGATTGTTAAAAATCCGATGATTTGTGAATCTTGCTTCAGTTTGACAAAGTCGTGTGAGTTTGTTGATAAGCTTCCTGGTAGGAAGACCATAAGTATCATTGATATAAGAATAAAACTTGGGCACTGTGGTAGATTTAAATTTAAATTTATTGGTTATATGGATATCATTAGAGAGAAAAATCATAAGAGTCTTTCGCAAGAAAATTTCTTCATACTTACTTCTGCGCAGGATAAAACATCAGCTTTGGAGTTGAACGAATAATCTGCTGGCTAGAATTTGACAGTGTTAGAGACCATAATTTCTTTAGGAAAATATTATGTGCCTTAACAAAAAAAAATGAAAAACAATAATAGTATATGCATAACCAACAAATCGAAAATCTCAGCTCAAATAAACTATTTTTTAATTAAGCCAGAAAGAACTCATTTTACATTTCACAGCTTTTCTTCAGCTGCTAACAGCCCAAAAAATATCAGATAGGTTAATAAAAATGGCCTCTTTCAATACTTATATGACAACAGCACGTGTCGGGTGATCTACAACGGAAAACTCGACGAAGTCTTTGAAATGAATACATGAATAAGACAAGGCTACTGCCTACTATCAACCATGATATTCCTAATTGTGGTGGACTGGATTACACGGAAGACTGTGCGTTGGAAATGAGAAGACAGGAATACGTTAGACCGACAAGAAAACTCTAGTAGATCTGGAATTAGCGCATGGGTGACTTATGTTTAATGTCACACAAACTCGAAGTCTTCAAGGCGAAAACCAACAAACTGGCTGAAGAAGCAAGCAGAGAAGGCGAAGGTTATGAAAATAACTAACCAGCCAACAGCAACAACATCCAACACCAATCACCATCAACGGGAAAGATTTGACAGAGGTTATTTCCTTTACTTATCTAGGAAGCATCGTTTTAACTACAGGTGAACGGTATGGATAAAGATGTCGAAACCAAAATCACAAAGACAAGGCACACTTTCATCAGTCTGAAATCTTCTGCACTTCTCAACATAAACAATACAAATAGGATTTTTTACATCAATGTTAAATCAGTAAGTTCTTCTAAATGGTTGAGAAACTTAAGTTCCGAACTTTCCATCACATTACGTATACAGAAATCCTAAGTACTATGTATTCATATTTATTGTTCCATTATTGTGGTAGGAATTATTAAATATCCCTTGAGTGGCATTAAATTTGAATTATGTTATTAGATGATTGGAGACAATTGGCAGGAAGACCTGCTTGACCTAGGTTTCGTGCTTCTTGGCACTCATCAGCCACAGCAAAGTATACCTGCAATCTTCAGGGATCTCTAGAGAATGGACTTGTTTTCACCTTGATCAAACTAGTCAAGAGAACTCGCTGTATGTAATTCACCGTTACCTATTTACATAATCGTCCATGTGCAGGTCCATGCACCACACTAAGTGTAGAGGGTACCTGACACCCCAAAACCTCAGTTGGTAAAGCATGGCTGAAAAATTTAACTGATTGCTTGGTAGCCTACCTCAATGAGATTCTGTTGCTACCTAGAACTACTTAATTGTGCGGCACCACATTCCTGAGGAGAAGAGAAATATCTGTTAACCATCTTGAAGAAAAATGGATGCCCGTCAGCTTCAACAAAAGATGTCTATACTCGAACCAAACAACTCACGAGAAACTATCCATAAAAAACTACTAGAGATCTCTTCTTCCCGTATATTAAGAATATTTCTGAAATAACAGCTAGAATATTAAAACCATTCGGAACGAATATCCAATAAATGGCTGACTGAGTCACAACATAGACCTTTCACAGATGTACCGTAATTCAAGAGGAAAAAAGGGATTCAAAGACACCATAATAAGCAGAAATATGAGGAAGAAAGAATAATCTCTAATGGTTTTGGGAGATCACAAAGAGTGAATGCATCTACGCCAGCCATTGACGACGAAGATTTTGAGTTATATCACTAATTGTCTCCAGTCTCCATTGGTTCTTACCATTCCCAGAACGTCTATCAGATAGTCTACATCTCTCTACATGGCTGGCTCAGACCAACTGTCAGATACTTGATTGAAAAGGTTGACTGTTTTTGACCACAGATGTTTACGATCTCTTTCTCACGTTAGGTGGTATAATAAGGTAAGTAATGTTGACGTTAGGCGTAGAGTGTTGGACAAAGAGGGAAAATCAATCGACGAGGCCATTAAGTTACATAGATTGAGATGGCTAGGTCACATGCTGCGCATGCCTAACCATCGCCTCCCCCGACGGGCATTACTAGCTGATATAGGTGCAGGTTGGAAAAGAGTAAGTGGTGGCCAAACAAAAACATCGCATCAATCAATCCATGAAATCCCTGACAGTTAAACTGAGTCAGGTAGGGAGATGCAGACTTCTGTCTTGGGGCCCTCGGGACTCTAAGAATCAATGGCTGGAGACAATAGGTGACATGGCTGAAAACCGTTGTCAATGGCGCAGATGTATTCAGTCTCTGTAATCTTTCATATTCCTTTCTACCATTACTCATTCTGTTTCACTCTTATACTTGTCAAAACTCTATTGATTCTCTTCACTCATTTTCTTGTCTACCTTTGTGTGCTCTTTGGAAGGTGACAACTCGAACTGCTGCACTTCGGTGCCAAGTTCTATGTTGAATCCAGCCAGCCAGCCAGCCATTCTAATGTACACACACACACACAATAATCATATATAAATGTGATTGTACGGCTAAGTGAATGAATTCACCGAAAAGAGACTCTTCGCTGAACTTTTTGTTCTTAAAATCATTAAACTGGTCAAAGTGGGTGTTCCTTTTTGGATTCCAGAGCAAAAACATACACATTCCCCCATATCAACACATGTAATGGAATATGAACACCAGTTTCACTGAAAGAAATGTGAAAATTTTAAACAACAGAAATACTAAATATACCAGAAAAGTGACTAGCAGTGGAATCCAGGATGCGCATTTCGTCCTATTTGGGACTCGTCATCAGATGTACCGACATGATGGATTCCACTCCTAGTCACCACCCACAAATTAACTTCTAATTACATGCCCAGACATCGTCGAAGCATTTGCACGAGAAGCCGACGTGTCAACCTGAGACCGAACACTTCAGTCCAATCAATCGACGGGAAAATCTAAAGCTGAATTATATACCAGAGCATTCGCTATAAACATCGTAGTCAAATGAATTTTCAGTCAACGGACATATTGAAGTAAGCGCAAAAGATGTTGTGTACTGAAGGACAGTGACAGCTTCACAGTAAAATCACCCTGTTGAAATAACACAATCACATCAACGAAAGCCGCTACATTGTGATGTACTTTATCTGTATTACAGACATAGCATATGAACTTGAGTACTCGGCTTTCAACCAGTAGGTCCCAAGTTCGAATAACGTTCCATCTGCTTCAGAGTCTGAATAACTGGACAGTATCATCAACTCTCATACAATAAGAATGCCTCATTGCCTGTTGAACATGAGACTTTTTCTGCATACCACACCACAGATTATCAACAATTATAGAAACCGTCAGAAAGTATAAAGTAATCAAGAACTGGATTTCACATAATGATGAAATGACAGTGTAGGACTTTTCTCTTTTCCCAATGATACATACGACGATCACTAGTGAAAGCGCAGTTCATTTTGCTGAAGCATTAACCTTTTTCAGCCAATGGATTCTTACCCAATTAACTTCAGTCTGGAAAGAATCATAATGAATTTTAACGCTAAGTACAGAAAAAGATCTCTTCTGGGTGATTGGAGTTCATATAAATTACTGTTCAATTTAACTTTAGACAATATATGAATCTACTATTACGTAACCGCTACGTATTCGGTGACTTAATTCAACATAGACTGGAAGATATCGAGAAGATGCCTTGAAAATTTGTCAAAATAAAAGTACAACAATTAAGGTAGTCATAGACACTAATAGTAATAACTGTCTATTCACAAAGAGCAGCATAATGGCACTTTAAGCGAATATTTAAATAGAACACCAACCCTTGATAACAAAATCTCATTAAAGCAACTGAAATTTTATGTATCATCCTACTTCGAGCAATAATTGCGTTATCTACCAGAAGAACATAATATGGTGGTGAGGATTTCGTCTATGAAGACAGTAAAAGCTTCGTAATTGAACCATTCAACGAAGGGAACACAACTAGAGCGAATATCATCCAACTAAGCCACAAATCTTCTACACCATTTCTACAAATATAACAGCGCATTTAAAAATAACTTCCTTTCGGCAGCAATGTAAAAGGTCATATACACTACTACCATTTTGCATCCTCACTAGATTTCAACACGCATTCCAACGATCACAGAAGAAATAGCCCATGTTTCCATACTCCACATCTTTCGTTAAGGTAGTCTAATTCTAATTTAGATTATGGGATTTGGATAAATCTCAATTCTTGGATTTCGTTATTTTTTAAATTTTGATCATAGCTTGATTCCACACAGTATTTTTGGTTCAAGTATGAAATTTTCAGCATGTGGTATCGGTAGCCCAAATTTTGCAGGCCGACCATTGATATCAGGTGTGCGTCGGTAGGGGATCGAACCCCGGACCATGTGTATGGTCGGCGAGAGTCCTAACCGCTGTGCCACCGACAAAGCAACGTCAATTACAGAGATCATTGAAAAACAGGAAGCACTGGACAGCTGTTTTGGGACTCTTCATCAGTGCACACCCATCACACCGCCAGGGACTTTCAGGTCCTGAACTTGCAGTGAGAAGCCTTGACGACCAGAGGGGTCCACCATGTCAAGGCGAAGTAGATACTCATCAAAAGCATTGGTTGAAGGCAATACTATATCACTCATTGACAAGAGTTAGAATTCACGGGACGTTGAACTCGCACCAAAATGGCTGAAGGGTCAACGAAATTGGCCTCGCAACATGCAGGTCCTGGGTTCGATCCCTGGTTAGCTGATTCTAACAGAGAACTTAGCTAACATTGCTAATCGATGAAGACGATGGTTAGGCATGTATAGCACATATCCTAACCATCTCAATCGATGTAACTTCACAACTTCATCGATTGACTCGTCCTCTTAATGTAGCACTCACCTGGATATTACTCACCCTATTATACCAACTAACACAAGAGACAGAACTCAAACACTTATGACCGAAATCTTAGGTGCTAAGAAACAAACCAGTCACCTTCACCGATGTCTGTTTGTAAGTTTGACCTATTAACCCATCTTAGTTAAGACTTCAGGCCTTACCACTGCATTGCTTATGCTATAACTCCCCAAACACAGACAACAACATTAGGGAAACTAACCTGTGGTTAATTCTACTTTGAAACGACGCTTATTACTCTGCTTAATTAGAATGACATGGGTTCGAATCTCAGAAAAGACATGATTTCCTTCAAGATTACAGACAAACCTTACTGACGAAACCTAGGTCAAGTAGAGCTACCTACCGATTGCTCGCAACTATGTAATAACAACTACTCATAGTGCACCGTGATAACCAGCCACCAGATTGCAAACTTGACTGGTAGAATTCAGTCTGTACCAAACAACAAAGGACTAGACACATGACACTAGTTGATGTCCATCAGAATTAACGTAAATCCCTGATGAAGATTGTAACATTATAGTAATCCTGAAATAATTTCATTTTGTTCTAAACATTATATCGAAATTGCACTCAATCATCACTACCAGTGTGCATTAAACATAGAACCTTCACAAAAATGATACTGCTTACTAAGTTTATGGTTCATGCGAAGGACACTATAGATAACGCAAATGACCTTTGAAATGACAACCAATTAAAACTTTTCTGAAAATTTTTAGAGGAGTGTATACAATACAGATTTATTCAGATCTATCGAGCTAAATTTTGCAGGTTTTATGAATCAAGTGCATGATGTGACTTCATAAAATGCAAACTACATAAAAGAACCAATCAGAATAAATTGGAAGGACGTGTAGTTAATCGCCTAATAAAATACAGGCTTAGAACTGATACTCTTCTCCTGACATAAGTACACAAAAATGGAGCTTTCAAGCACAGATCGAATCAACCTAATCTTCTATCGAAAATACATCGACTTGACAAACACATTGGAGAATGTTTGTGAACAGTAAGTGGAATTCGACAATAGCCCTTGTTAATTCGCGTCTGACTTTCTGCTGTCGAGAATTTTCAAACAAAACTTGAAATATTACGACAAAATGAATACCTATGAAGCTCATCACCTAAGAGGATACACGAAATAACCTGCTGAGGAAAATCCATAAACAACAGGCAATGGTTTTTCGAAACACGGAAACTTAAGGCAAGGTACTACTTGTAGGCAGACATAACTTGGTAGTTATCATAAACCATGATCTGCTAATGGCATACCACGGATTACTTCAGAAAACCCATAAATGATATTATAAAACCCACTGACCATCATTGAGTGCCCATTAAGTTCATCGTCTTGCTAAAATCAGAGTTAACAGGGACTATATTGTCGTATCCATTAGAACTCTGTTGTTCTTCCATATTGCTTACTATTCTTTTTCCCTCACTCAGACTTCTGTTTATTTTCTATCTGTATTGAATCTATCTCTTCATTCTCTTATCTTGCTTTGCGTGCTACATGGAATGTGGTAACTCGAACTGGTGCACTTCTGTGAAAAGTTCTATGTTGAAACAATTCAGTCAATTTTTACGGATCCTAATGTTTCTTCCTTCGAATTTATGGTAAGTGATCAGTTCTCAGAGACTCCTTAGTTTATTTGTGGTACTTCAGAGACATGCTTGTTTTAGTTGCATGCAACGCTAAAAATACGCATTCCTTTATGTACATTAAGAGACTGAAGAGTGATGAACCATTGAAAACCAGAACGGTCATCATCAGTACACATCCACCGCTAGGTTTCGAACCCAGAACCTTCCGTTATAAGTCAAGCTCGTAGGCCATTCAGTCACTGGGACCCGACTTAATGTTTGGCCCATGAATTGTAACTTCTACCAATTTGTGATTTCATAGCGAGTATTTGTCCTCGCTGCCTCAGGCCTGGTGGACCCCACTGGTCACTAGAACTTCGGGCAACTTCGTCCTGCAGCCAGTCACTAGCGGGTAGGCATAAATTAGTTAGTAACGAAAGTTGCCGACCAACTGCTTGCTTCCAAACTGCAATATGCTACCTAAATAACAACAGCTACATAAATGTGATCTACAACAACAATAACCGCTATTACATACAACAGAAGCCCTTAAATGTGGTAATATAAAACTATTTCGCATGCTTAAAAAAACCGGTCATTATTTAAACATGTTAAAAGTGAATCAATACATTCATCATCAGCATCAAACAAATGTACACAAACACAGCAGCATGGATTTCTCCATCAAAGATGTGTGAAATTTCAAAAAGAAGAAAAAGCAAAAAGACGAAAACCATTTTTACAGCTGATCTTCATCACATTTATTATCGTTATTGTTGTCGTTATCATCATCATCATCACTGAGTTCTATTGTTTGTGCTAATGTAGATGTTCAGAAATAAGAAATAAAAACAAAAGGCCGCCAAAGTGTAACTGTCATAACGGCGGGAAAATGCAACTCCAATTATGGAAGGAGTAAAACAACTTCTGTGAATGTAAAGTGTACATGTATGGTGAGCGCGCATTAGAGGGCCACGGGGAATAATAAATCAACACGTAGATACATACAAACAGACTCAATTATCAACACGGACATGCCCACACAAACAAACAAGAACAGTTCCAGAATTTTGAATAATGAAGAAGAACAAAACTGATGATAGTAGTAATAAAACTAGGTATGACTGATTTGTGTGGAATAATTTTTCGCTTTTGTCTACAACATACGAGGGCACAAATCTGTTGGTGTGTGTGTGTGTGTGCATTTGATTTCGACAGACTGAGAGGGAAAGAGAAAGAGAGAGACTCAAATGCAGTCCAGTTGTATCAATGTCGTCCACCACCAGATGAATGATCCTAAATAAAGCACACAAAAAGAAGAATGCAGATTAATGAAGGCGGAGGGTGTATTTTGCAAGAAATCAAAAGTAATTGTAAACATCACATACATCATATAATTAGATTAGGCAACTTGTTAAATTAAATGTCAGTTGGAAAACGGAAAATAATAATAGGCAAGTAGCAGATGGCAAGCATGTTAACATCGACAGTGTTCCATCTTTCTATGCGTTATGTTTTATGTTATATACACAAATACATTCTGGTGAGGTGATACAGACAACTACAACAAAAAGACTTACCACTTTACTCTTGCGCTTAAAAAGTGAATAAAATGAGTGTGTTTGTGTGTGTGTAATGTTAAACAAAGAAAATGAGCAACAACACACAAGGGGTTAGCATCTGTAACTGCAAAATTTGTTCGACGGCGAATCAGGAGGGGTAGTGGGAATTGGTTTCAAAATACTGGTGAATGGGTAAGGAGTATTCTTCCTGGTTACTTCTTCATCAGGTTCTACAGTTGCATATCCATAGTGGTATTTACAGAATAATTGTCACTAACAATAACAATATTCTCGGGTAATGCAGATACACTGAGGTCAGGACATGTATATTTGATTCCGTACTCACAGTGAGTGTTACAGTATTAATAAGCGGATGATGTTTCGGGCAGAATTTATTGCTACTCATAATCATATCAATTAGTCACACGACTTCTTGATTTGCCTCATCTTTTTCTGCTCCTTGCTGTTTGTTGCCACTTTCCATATCACCGGGTATAGGCGTTTTGTCATTTTGAGTGCAAGTGTGAGGTGTTGAACCGATAAACAAGGATTCAGTGGTTAAACTCCCTATCTCTCCACCTAACTATATTACATTTTAATACTTATATCCCACCCTACTGTGTGATTACACGTAAGTGAATGCATTGCAGTGGCTGAGCTTTTTTCTAGGTTATTTAACTTACCAGGGTCGATCATTCTAGCTCTAGTTATATTCCTTTGTTTCGATAATCTAATCGATCCTGATCTACTAGTCTGATCTATATAATTGACTTGACAGTCATTACATGAGATTTGGTAAATTTTATTATTTTTCCCAATTGTATCTATCGGATCCTTAAACTGATAAAGTTTATTTCCGAGAGAGAATTGGTTAGCTTAAATGCCACCTTAATTTCAGCCTTACTGAGAATCCTACCAAGGGCTTCTGATATTCCTTCTTTATACAGCAGTTCTACAGAGGCTCTGAATTCCGTACAACGTATGTTATTGCCATCATTTTCATGACTACTTATCTTTTCGATGTGGAGATTGCTGGATTGCAGTCCAAGGCAAGGATAAATATAGTAATAAATTGAACAAAGTTAACGAGACCATGAAGTACAAGGAATATTATAGAAGTGAATGGACTTAATCGACGTTTAAATTTAATTTTATTCAGTCTGACTATTAATTACAACATATGAGCATGACTTGACAACAGTTAGAAAGCCATTGAAAATCAGGGAGTAGTGGACAACTGTTTCATCGTAATTTGGGACTCTTCAGCGCTCACTAGGGTTCGAACTAAGGATCTATTAGTTACAAGGTAAATTCACAGACCATTCAAGCCACTGGGATCCATGTAGATCATCCATGAATTCCAACTTCTGCCAATTCGCGATATATAGCGCATCATCAAGCTAGTGTCATGGTTTATTCACATAGCCTATTCACCTACACCTTTGAGAAATTTGTAATGTCACTGATTCGATGTCTCTACAAAACATCCACGTTGTCAATAAAAATTATTTCCCACTATAAAACATGAAGTTGTTGAAGTGAATACTCTTTGTCAATCAATGGCTGACACCGAACTTAACCTGAAGGTGAGAACATGCGGCAAAAGTCTGCTTGAGTTTTAGACATTTGGTTTATTAGCAGTGAAATCACTTAAATTTCCACCTTCATAATGAAAAATAATTTAGTAGCGGGTTTCCAATGATAATTGGGCCTCAAAATTTAGATGTTTGTTTTATTTTTATAAATTAGAAGCTAGTAAAATAAGTATAACTTTTGCAAAAAGAAATTTGAGGAAATGTGCAATTAGGGGAAACAAACGACAATGGGGGTGAACTGTATACCTGATTATTCTTTGAATTTGCTTTGACATTGTTTACAGCGGCATTAACACTCCGTCGAGTTCGTTTAGCAGGAGGTGAGATAGCAGTGGAGTTGACGTCATTTTCTTTCTGATGATCAGATTGCGCTTCTAAAAGCTGCATTCTGGTTTGAGAAAGATCTGTTTCTAACTGATTTATTTGAGCAGTAAGCTCTTGTACCTAAAGAAAAAAAATGAGAAAAGCAAATGAGTTTTAATCATCGCTGACGATAACATCAGATAGAAACAACAGACCGAGTAGAGACATGACATTATTGAATAGCTTTCAAATTCAAGTAGGTGTGAACAGTTTCAACGGAGTACAAGAATGTACACAACTGAGACAGACAGTCAACGCAAAGCTCTGAGGAGGACAATTAGTAGTTACATGTATCAGAATTTATGAAGATTTCCCACTGGCGCCTAATATACAGAACTGATACTTAAAAGTTTGAAGTTACTATAAGACATTCTCAGGCAAATAGTTAATTCAATCATACACTTAGGACAAGGTGCCGTATTTGGTCCCCTTAATGCGTATTTATCAATTCACTGAGAGTAAAGTATGTCTGCCATATGCATAGCCAAGTCCGTTAATGTATTTTAGAAAATTGCACAGCCCCTACTACTCAAAGCAGAAAAGAAGAATATCAGTAGCTCTATCCTCAAGAGTCTTGTCAAATCTGGACGTGGTGCAAGCCTTCATGATTGCTTCAATAGTGATACATGAATTCCCCTCATTTCGTGTAAAAAGACTTCAAATATGCCATTTCTTTTTGGTACCTGAGATCAGACCTTTGAATTTAAAAGCATTTCCTAATTGTAATTTTCATTATTACCGTTTATCGATAACATTGCATTTCTTATATAAGTTCCATGTTAACAATTTATTGGATTTTCAGTAGCTTTTGTCTACTTTGATTGATTGGGTCATTTCCCACACTTACTAAGTAACTCCAGCTTCCATTTTTATTCTCCACTTGGTTACCCCCCCCCACACTTCTAGATTACACCTCACATTGCATAATACAACTTCAGGAACACAGTTTCTAGAAGTTGACTGGCTTTATGAATTCTTTGTTAAGTATAAATACGACTGTACATCTCTCTTGAAGATGATTCTTCGGAAATGAAATTGTCTTCATTGTTGCGTCTCGTTATGTTTGTCACAAAGTTATGTGGCGATTGGAACTCCACATTTTGTTTGTAAAGTGAGACCATCTGGACTTATTAAAATAACTCAGATATCAACTATTTTTCAGTTAGATATATACTTACGATCTCAAAGTTGTATCATACAAACGTTCATAATCTTTTTCAATACACTAATGTTTATAACTTTCGATTTGTTGCGAATGGTGACGTTTGTTAATCTTCACAAACCTAGTCAAACATTCATATACATCCATATGGTGGATGGACTGTGCTTCGCTCAGTAAGTTTTAGTGGTGCAGTAAAGGAATTAAAATAACAGTAAGTATTTTAGAAAACTATCCAAATTTTAGATTATGTGATTTGTGGAGATTTAGGCTAATTTAACTTCAATTATTAGATTTCGTCACAAACCAACACAGTAATTAAAGAGATCACTGAAAGCTAGACAGTACTGAACAGTTGTTTCGTCCTGTTTTGGGACTCTTCGACAGTGTGCACTCACGACCCGCCAGGGATCGGAGCCAGGGACTCCCAGGCTACCAGATCAAGTTCGTTGGTCATTGAGCCAACTTGGCTAGAATTCAATGATACAAACTTTGTAAAAATGTGAATGCCGAAACACGAGTCACACAAGGATAGTAGAAGAGAACTGAACATGAGAGAACTACGAAGAAAAAGGTAAGCAAACTTGTCAAGACACCCAAAAGAAGACAAACAGAGATTACTTTTAGTTGAAGCCATGCTCTTTTTCCATAGGTGAAAAGTAATCCATTATCCATATGGTTTAGTTCTGCATTACCCCTAAGACATTCACTTTATGTTACAGGCCAGAGAATTTCTCCACGAAGTACACATGAATCAGTTTAAATTTTAAGAGGCATAATTATTTTTCCCTTTGTTGGTCTACATTCTGAGTAGGACTGGACACAGAAGTATCCACGTCATGTTCAAACGACTCTACAAGAAAAGAAAAGAAACAAGAGAAAAGTATAGAAATTGAAATGAAGGCAATAACTTACCCGCGAAGTTGAATCACAGGCGATTTCTCTTTCTCGAGTAACTTCGTCAGACAATTGTTGAACACATTGTTGAGCATTAGCAAGTTCTGCCTCCAACTAAAAAAAGAACACGATTACTTATCATTTATTATGATACAGAAGTAAAAGTGATAATATGAGAAGATCAAGAAAAGTAACCACTCAAGCAGTATACAAACATAAACATCATTACTAGCCAATTATGTGCGACCGCAGCTCATCAGTAGATCGTCATGTATGACAATGCTGGATAGTAATCAAATAAGTTTATGTGAAAGCTGATAACATGTAAGAGCTACTTTGTAATGCTTCAAGGCAACTCAAACTTCGCCAAGAACCGCAAGGAATCAAACCCTTGATTGCTGATAAAAGGGGAATGTTGACTGGATTGGTACAACCTCATTCATAACGTGACAAAGAAGAAAAGTTACATGCTGTCTTTTGGGGGAACTACAATAAACAGAAGTGTTCAAGAGACAACAGTTCTATGCACAATTGAGGATTTTAACTGACCTCGGTGGTCAGAGGAATGATTAATCTGAGCCATTGAGAACAGTTGTGAGCCATATCACTAACAGCTTCCAGTCACTGATTCTCAGCATTTCAGGAACTCCAGCCTAACATTCTACACTTCCTTACTTAGCTTAAACCGATGATTAAATACCTCAAGGATTAATTTCATGTTTTCATTTGACCACTGACGCTAACTCTTTTCCAACACACAGTTCTATTTCAGTTAACATTGTTCAACGAGGAAAGTGATGGCTTGGCATGTGTCACATGTGTCCCAGACTTTTCAATCGATGAAGCTTCCCTTAACTAACACTAAGTCTAACACCAATTCTACCGATCATAGTGTATGAGCTGATACGAAAAGTGTAGGCGCGTATGGTAAAAGACAGATAGCCTTTTCATATTTCCAACTTTCAATGATCATGGTTCACAAAACGAAAGGAAGGACAAAGCGATCTGCTGGGCAGTAACACAAGTCGTTTAATGAGTAGCTAAAAATCAGGCTTTCACCAATAAATGACGAAAGTTGGCAAAAGCACCACATAGGATAAATGACAAACAATAATCGAGGATGTATGTTTATATAGAACAGCAACATATACGTTGACTAACTCCATTTGTAACTAACCTGAGACTTAACATTTTCTTTTTCCTCTTGCGTTCTAGCAGCTTCCTCCATTAAATTTTTACATCGCTCCTCCAGTGAAGAAAGTTTAGTTTCCAACTGCAAAAGTTACAAAACAATCAGTATAAAATACGGCCTAAACATAACACAATATATCTCGATGTTTTAGTTATTAGACCTCTCGAAAAACTAGTGACTGACTGATTGGTTTCAACATAGAACTTTCCACAGATGTGAACCAGTTCCAGTTGACACACACTCTCTCTCTCTCTCCAACTATCGCACAAACCAAGAGAACATAGTAAACAGAGATTCAAAACACAGATAAATAATAAAAAGAAGTGCGAGTGAGTGAGGGAAAAAGAATAGTAAGTAATGTGGAAGATCAACAGAGTTTTATTGCATATGACAAATCACAACGAGTGAATGCATCTGCACCAGCCATTCACAACGATATTTCTTAGCCATATCATCACCAATTGTCTACATCCTTCAATGGTTCTTACCATCCCCAGGACGCCAACCAGTCAGTAAGTCCACACCTACCTCCCTACGTGGCTGGCTGACGGGCTCAAACTGTTGTGGATTTTATTGACTGATGAAGACATGTTGGTTTTGGTTTGACCACCACTAGCTCTTTTCCAACTTCACCGATCTTATGTCAGCTGACATTCAACGTCAAGGAAGGTGGTGGCACAGAATATCCTAACTATCTCAATCGACGTAACTTCACAACCTCGTCGATTGATTTCCTCTCCTTACCTAACACTCAACCGAGGCGTAACGTCAATATTGCTCACCATATTATACCATCGAACACGGGAGACAGAATACAGACATGATCAAAGACAGATAGCCTTTTGATGTCCTCCACATTCAACGGCCATGTCTCACAGTCAGCCATAGAGGAGGATGAAGCGAACTGCTGAGCAGTACATACGTCCTTTAGTAGACCAACCAGCCGGATATCAAGTTTACTAAGTCAGAGATGGCGACAGTTGATAAATTCCAAATGAGCCTTCTTTATCCATCCTGAGATTTCGTCAGCGACCAACCCGCTGGCGTTGACTGAATTAAGTGGTAAACACGATGTACGACCTCACTCCATATGTTCACACTAGGATTCGATTGAGTCCATTTCTATAGCATCATCTTATATATGACAGGAATGGGTGAATCGCATGCCAAACATTAGAAGACTGCTACTCCTCAAGGTGTTCAGAAGACTCTGCATTTTGTCAGCGTCTTCGCATAGGAGGACTAGACCACATTTAGAAGTGCGATATTGCTTAACTACGAAAACTCTACTCGTGAAAAATGTATTCATGAATGATTACACTATACTAGACTAGGCTACCCAACACTACTTGGGTGACAAAACAAAATGAAGTAATATTCTAACATTACAGCGCAATATATGCATATGTATAAAGTTGGAGAAAAAAACAGCAATGACCGTTTATTGTGACTTGATGACAAAATTACTTTTCTGCTCAAGAAATCAATGAGACAAATTTTTCACCACAATTCATTTCACACACTAAAACACGTGCACAATAATCGATAATTATTTGCGTGAACAAAAATGCATAAGACTGCACACATTTGCTTAGTCTACATACCAGAATGAGGTTATCTCATCTGTAAAAAGCGTCATGAAAAGCATTTCCAACAGACTACTGCAGACTTCTATGAACAGCTGCCTTTGCTGGCTCCATAATGAATATCAAATGGTTGGCCAGAAAGAATTAGCAACAAGAAACTGTGGGAACAAACTAGCCAAGAACTTCTAGTTCAACAAATATGCAGGAAATGGAGACGGACTGGGCACACGCTGACATCGCCCGCCAGACACACCCTCGAGAGGAACCCGAGTGGGTCGTTCGACGGTAACATGGAAGAGACCGTGCGAAAAGGAGATAAGAGATTATGAGCAATTGTGGACCCAGATGAAGAGAGCAGAAAATAGAACAAAGCGGAGGTGTTGCTGAAGCCTTATGTTCCACTCGGAACCCAAGAGAACAATTATTATAATAAATAATATGTTAAAAAAAATAATAGTTAGTACAACAAAGGCTATCGTCAGTCAGTTAACAAAGATACCACTTTTGAATAATATTTACCTCAGCTACAATATCCAGATCAGTAGACTGCTGTTTATCCTCCGTACTTGAACGACCTTGACAATGTGGACACGGTGCTTTCTCATCAGTAATACCATTTTCACAAGGTTCTGTGGGTTCTAAATCAATTTCATAGACATGATATTCAGAATAATTAGCATTAACAACTAAGTGTATATGCACATATGAATATTTATTAGATAAGTTGAACAACAAATCATTACATTTTTGGCATCAACATTTTTGGACTTTTGAACTGAGGTGCAAACAAGCTACTCTAATTGTTGCACGATACCAGATAAAGTGTATGGTAATATGTACGATACAGTTGATCAATTTGGGTTAAAGGGGACCCAAGCGTTTGGCAACAAAACTAGGAGAACCCTTAGAGTAAAATGATTAGTTCACTTATGCTTTCAATAGCCTTCTTTATGAATCTTCAAAGCAAGGTATCAGCAATAAACACATCTTCAACTCCTCTTCACGCTAACGACGGGCGGATAACGATTGCCAACATAACATCACGACGATCATGATGGTTAAAAATTGTCTGACATAAAAACTACGATGCTTTGTAGGCCTTCTTAACGAAATTTGGCGAACACTAGAAACGGGAATCCTCAATATAAACGATAAAGTTTGAAGAACTCAGTCAGGTGAAACATGTATCTTTCAAATAGCCGGATAGGAGCCTAATTCATTAAGCGAGGAGTGGAGTGGGATTCGATCACGAGACTTAGTGATTAAAAGTCGACTGCTAAAGTCAGTCAGTGGGCCACGTGGACCTTATGTGCCACAATACTGTTTCTAATCCTCAGGTCATGTACGTGGTATCTAAGTATGTTATCCATCTTTTCTAACTACCACAGACTTAATTTTCTCTGTCTCGGAAGCGTTGTAAAGTATTACCACTTATATTATTGAGTTCTGAAGAACTGACTTTATTCCACAGTTTAGTGCCTTCAATGTATAGAACCCAATTCTTCTAGGTTCAAGGTTATAAGGTTAGACCATATGCTTATAATACTTTTAGGCTTTCAAGAAGACAGTGAGATACATTTAAGGTTAGCTACTTAGACTGCATATTTCAGTAAGTGTATTGAAAACAAAACAACAACAATAACAGTCATTAAAAATTCCAAGTACCTTCAGTGGAATGAATCCGTAAAATTTCTTCACAACGTTTTGTTAACTCAGCAATCAATCTATCCTTGGTAAGCATTTTATTTCTTGAATCATTCAACTGAGATGATAAGAATTTATTAGTAGTTTGTAAACTTATTAAATCGGAGTTCCATCGTTCAACTTCAGCTCCGCCACGAACAGCTCTACAGCGAACCGACTCCAACTCTTTTGTGGTACTCTCCAATTGACCACGTATAGCTGCAAGTTGATTTGTGAGCTCAAGGCAGAGACGTTCTTTTGTCTTAAACTAAAGTAGAAATATTAAAAGAGTTATGACCTCTTATAGTTAAAAATTGATAAACAATAAGTAGGATTCTAATGAGGTCCCATCCCTACTAATACGCTTCTAGCCAAAAGTACGTTGTCAAATATTCTTCTCTCAAGGTAACACTCAGCTTTACTGTACCTACACTCCACAACGAGTGATTTACTATTCCTTCTTTACATTAAGATTAAAACTGATGACTGTAATAAGAGTGGGACAGGCAGAATATCAATGTACAACCTAACATCACTGTGTAGTAAAACAAGTTGCCACTCTACTGTATCTGTACATTAAGGAAATAGAGCATGACCCACACACTAAAAATCACTTCAACTGACCTTCTCACCTTACCCAAAAACCTCCGTCTAGTTCATTCATGCATTTAATTCAACTCGAACTTTCCCGTTGATTGATTGCACCGAAGTGCTCGGCCTCAGATTCACATGTCATCTCCTTGTGCAGATGCTTCGACGATGTCTGATTATTTAAAATGAAGTAAATTGGCGGATAGTGACGACTAGCAGTGGAGTCCAGGATGCACATTTTGTCCTATTTGTGACTCATCAAGTGGATGCACCTGCATTCCCCAGTGAGTGATGGTGTCACCAGTTCCAAACGCCAAAGGTACATTCAGCTGACGGTTTCCAAACGGGACGAAGTGAGCATCCTGGATTCCACTATTAGTCACCATCCACGAATTTATTTATGCACTCCCGAAGTACCAGTTTTACAGAATGCAAGAATTACTACAAAGGCATTAACGCTTAAATACTAGTAAGTATGTGTACATCTTTTACTGGTGGTCACGTTATAAGACCACGTTCCGGGAATCAATTGTTGTCAAGACTGCGAGCTGACCTGATGAATGTGTCTAATACCCGGACTTGTTTTACTACCCAATTGTCATAAAGGAGGCTGGTGAAGGAATCTGCCCCTTAGAAGTGAAATAATCGACAAAATGACTGCTAATAAATGTACTGTACAAAAGACTTAATAGCATTGTTCTCTCAATTTGAAATAAAGAGATCTACAACGCTTACTTGAGAATAATGACGTCACAACTACAAACTGTCAATAAATCGACTCAACACATGATTATCAAAACTTGTTAAAATTAAAACATATGGATGAAATACAACCACTTTAAGGTATCACTGTAAACTTTTCAACAAAAACTGTTAATACATAGAATGCAGCTTCAACATACCTCAGCAGACATTTTATCCACTTGTGCGGATTTAGCATCAAATCTTGATCTGAGATCGAATAGTTCTGACCTCTTAGCCTCATTATCCATTCGTAATTGATTTACAGCGCCCTGAAGCTCAACGATTTTATTTCTGTCAGAAGGATCACTTTGAGGAATAACCTTTAAAAAGTATAATTAGTGAATGAGAATTTTTAAAAATCTTTCCTCAAATATAGTACATTTACATATAGCATGTATAACGCATACTGGAATGAACTATACTTATCTGCACAGGTATATCTAAAGACCTATCACCGAAAATGGAATAGTAATTAGAGCTCACTAAGATACCACAAAGCAATGAAAGTTAGTTTGCCCTACAGATCCAATTAATAGATTTTTGTAGGCAAATTTAAAAATAAGAGACCCTTTCTAATCACTCGATGTTAATTAATCAAAATACAATTATTGTCTGATCGTTGATGTGATAACACCGGCTTCCGAACTCATGACCCCTGAGCCAATGAGCACCCGCCAACACCACCACCACCACCCTCATCTGTGGTTGAGACAAAAATCTTGTTTCAATCAACTATCTCTTTTGAAAATTAAACCGGATTCCAATAGCTGAAACTTAAACATCAATCAATGCTAAGCGAATAACATCTAAATAATTATTCATCACTTTACACAAAATCGAATATCTTTCAAAATCTAGCCCAGCAATTTTCTTTGTTGTGGTGAAAACTACCAATCACATTCAGATAACTAAGTAATCATGAGATGAAGTCATGTAAAGGAAAATGGAACTAATTACACACAAAAGTAATAATCGGTTAAAATTAAGAACAAAATACTTACTGGTTTCGGAGGAGTTGCGATAGCCGCTTCTTCTAACCTCTTAATGCGTTGTTTGAGCTCTTGATTTTCTTTCTCCATAGCCTCTAAGTCAGCTTCAGTTCGTTTGCGACGTTGATACTCCCGATCTCGTTTACTTCGTAAACGTTCAATTTCAGCGTCTAATTCAAGAGGACCTACCCCACGACGAGCTAAGTCTTCACGAGCTGTTGCCAACTCGCGTTTTAATATACTGATTTGAGCTGTAAGACTTGACCGTTCAACATCAGCAGCTTCAAGTTTTGAAGCCTTTTTGGATATTTCCTGTAATAAAATGAATTGTTAAATCAAACCAATTGCTCTCACATACATATCACATTAAATTGACTGTATCCAGTTAAACACCATTATTTAAAGGGTAACCAGAGTGGCATTTTTTTTCTCACTGAATATTAACAAGATAATGAGAAATTTTTGATAAACAATTATGAAATGATAAGAAATATGAAGTTCACTGACCTCATGTATGCGTAGAATAACATCTTCCCGATAAGTTAAAAGATGATTGAGTTCGTTAACCTGACTTTCCAGCTCCATAACCTTAGCGCGTAAGGTAGCCGGATCAGTTTTAGAAAGACGTTCCAAATCGTTCTCCAACTTTTTCTCATCAGCAATCCATGGAGGTAATGTTGGACCAATAAGACGAGAGCCGAGCTAAAACGTGAAATAAGTGTTAGTTTACTTCTTTCTTATTTATGACACATACACACTAACCATACTCAGATCCATTATACACCTCGAAGTGACCTTGAGGACAACATGGACACTACACAATTTTTTTATCATCTGAAAATACATCAACAAGCCATATACATAGCTTAAACGGTGTCGTGTTCCTGGCAAAGATGAGATTTCAAGTGTTGAAGTGAATTATCTATAAAAAAGTCTCATGTGGGCGCTGGTTAACGAAGTAACAGAACTCTCCTCCTCTTCCATAATTTCCCCAAGTTCCATCTTTCAATATTGATTAGTTTTTCGGGGAATTTTCCCTAGCAAACCTCTAATTTAGGCTATCTGGAGCTAACCCTTACTCTTCATACACACACAATTACTTCATAATACACAACAAATAGTTCAATTTGCTTACCATACCGCCAGTGTATCTCCTGTCATTGTGAGCCATTTCTTTGATACGTGCCTCCAGCGTTGCGCATTTTTCTCCTAACTTCTCATATTCATCCAATTGTTGATCCAACTGAGAATAAGTAAATAAATACAGTAAAAACAAAGTCTGTAAAAAACCGAGTATTCCGACTAGTCCGAGTAACTCACAAAATGGTGTACCTAATAACGGTTACTAAGAAAACAATTTATTCATTCATCTATTTAAAATACAAAACTTCGTGCAATATAGAGACCACAAAACAATAATAAAACTATATATATATATATATATATATGCGTCAGACTTTGGGGAGCGAGACAGGAATACGCTGAATCACCAATAAGAAGACTCTAGAAGATCTGGATTTTGCAGATGATATGTATCTAATGTCACACGAACTCGAAGTCTTGCAGGCGAAAAGCAACAAACTGGCTGAAGAGGCAGCGAAGACAGGACTGCAAGTGAACATAGAGAAGACAGAGGTGATGAAGATAGCCAACGAACCGCAACAGCAACAACCAGCACCAATCACCATCAAAAGGAGAGATTGAACAGAGGTTACCTCCACTTATCTAGCCAGGAAGCATCATTTCAGCTACAGGCGGAACGGATGAAGATGTCAAAGCCAGCCAGGATCGGAAAGGTAAGATACACCTTCAAGTTGAAAGTAGTTTGGAAATCTTCGGCACTAACTAAGCATAAAGAACAAGATGAGCATTTTCAACACCAATGTGAAGTCGGTTAGTGCTTTTATACGGGTCAGAAACTTGGCGTGTCACGAAAAGGATTTCCAACAAGCCACTTCAGACTTTCATCAACAGCTGCCACCTTTGCTGGCTTCATGCTGAAGATCAAATGGTCAGAGAGAATTAATAACAAGAAACTGTGGGAACAAAGCAACCAAGGGTTGATCGCTCAACAAATAGGTAAGAGAAAATGGAGCTGGATCAGCTATAAATTGAGAAGACTGTCGAATGACATCTAGGCGCTTGAGTGGAATCCAAACAGGAAGCGAAGAGTGGATCGTCCTAGGGTGACATGGAGTAGACCATGTGAGGAAGAGATGAGATTATGGGCAATCATGGACCCAGCTGAAGAGGATGACAGGAAATAGAGCAAAATGGAGATATAATGTTGAAGCCCTATGTTCCGCTTGGAAGCCAAGGGAACAATAATAATAATATAAAATAAAGAAAATGGGGAATGAATAAAGGACCTAGTCCTGAAAGGATTCCATCCATCCCAGGGTTGGAGAAGAGAAACCGGTATAGAAGCCTCTAGGATGACACTGGTAGCACATGCCCAACCCACCAAAGCCGGTGTTCCCCGATGAATGGTGATCTCCACTGTGTCTGAACTTAAAATTCCTCACACAATGATCCTATCAAACGGAAGCAATCCCACAAAGACAGCGATAACGGAGTACACAAAGTTGGAGCACATCCTCAGCTAAGAGAGGCGAGGTTTCACAGACGTAGAGCAAGACTGCACGCATCGAAGCATTGTAAACCCAACCTTTGATAGTCAGGGTAGCGTCGTAATGGCGTCAGAGGTGGTTCAAATTGGCGTATGCCACCCTAGCTTCCACTGTACGGTTAGAACTCTCATCTGCCACACCTTGTCCAGCAATCACACACATCTACCCAGATACATAGACATATTGACAACTTCAAGTGTTCACCTGCAAGGGTGAGTGTAGGTACGTGCCTCTACCTATCTTGTAACGGTATTTTGCGCACATTCAAAAGACGTTATAACGGAATTACTTTTCTATCCACCCATCCATCCATACATCAAACTTTTAAATATGGAGAAAAAAATCTAGGTTAATAAATGTTTAACTAACACAGTACGCTAAGTGTATGAGTCGGCGTATGAGTTAGGAAAGAAATATGATACAAACATCGAGTGCTACATAAAACCTCACTTGTAAACAGTGGATCTATTAAGCTGTATTGCTTAAAAGTATATCTTAACAGCCATGTAAATTGTCATGTGTTTGTCTGTGGAGGCTTGTGTGAAATTTCAATGCGTGATAGACAATCTGAAAGTCAAGGGTTAAATTTAACCAGCTATTTCTGAAACAAATGTACGATATAACTCAATAGACAACACAATGGTAATAAACTATAGAGAATGACTCTATTATGAAGTCAGAGTTGAAGAAAATGAAGCCTTCGCCATTGAATAATCATTCAACTCAAAGAACATAAAAGTAAACCAAAATAATTATCCAACTGAGTTGCAAGTCTAACCCCCCCCCCTTCCAATCATCTCTAAATGAATTGTATGCGCACAAAACATACCTGCATTTGCAGTTTCTTTTTATCATCGCATAACTCTTCAATCTTCTGTTCTAATCCACTTTTAATTTCTTTAAGTTCCGCAATACGACTTTCAGATTTAGCCTGTTCAGATTTGAAATAATCATTAGCAGCAGCTAATCCACTCTCACTAGTTGTTTCAGAGCTATAAAAGTAATATTAATAATGGTCAACTAAAAAAGAATCCTCTTACCGTTCATTGACCAAATTGTCAAAAAGTTCTTGTAACGCCTTCAAACGCTCTTTCAAATCATCAGCATCTTCACCTCTAATTATAGCTGCATTTAATTCAGTTTCTAGATTAGAGGTTTTATGTAATAAATTATCTCGCTCCTCTGTGACATTTCGTAAGCGTTCTTCGATTTCTTTTGTAAAATTGCTTTGTTTTACAATAACGCTATCCTTAATCTAAAGGAATAAGGATAATATATGTTTAATAATTAACTAGCGCTTACTTTTATTAAACCAGAGGCTTCATCTGCACGTCTTTCAGCATCGGCTAATTTAGCTTCACAACTTTCTAATGTCATACGTACACGTTCACAATGAGCTTGAGAATCCGCTAACTCCTGTTTTGTAGCATCAAATGCTTTAAGGCGTCCTTCTAAGTCAGCAATCTGCAAACGACAATCCATAACCTTTTTCTTCTCATCCCTATTTTGATTGACAAGACTTCGATTGCTTAACTGCAAACTTGAAATATCAATCTTCAATTTTTTATTCTCCTCAGTAAGCACCCTAAAAAGTCGGTAAGAAACAATGCTAGTCACAAATATCTATGCAGCTAGGAAAAATTAACTTCCATGGGAAATATCAAAGCGTGGTGTGTATGTGAAAGACAGAGAACAAGAGATTACTATTTAGTTAGTAACCATAATGAATTGTCCAGGATGTGGGGTTGAGTTCACATATGTTGATGAAATACACTAACCTGAACTAAACGGAACACTCATTTACATACCCATATTGTTCCTCGTAATTGATCTCCTCTGCCACAACAGCTTCTTCAGTCATTCTGAAAGAGAAAACAAACATAACCAGTGATTAGAATTAAAATTTTAATACAGAAACTGTAAACTAGGGATGAATGAGATTCACTTTGTAACTGCATTTTATTCGTAAAGCTTAAGCACATAAGTAGAAGCTAGTGTCTTGGTTGACACATGCATCTGCTTTCACGTTTTTTTTCCGCATTATCTTCTTAGAGATCTTCAGCGCTTCAGTGAGTTTTATGCGGTCCCCTGTAAATTACACTTTCGCAACTAAACCACCAGAGTTCAGAGAAAACAACATTATGAAAGATAAGCCTTAGCTTTAACTCAATTTTTCCAATATGCATATGCCTACATGAGTTAGGAGTAAACAAGATAATAGATATAATCGGTTAACTACTCCATCATTTTCCACTTCCGGATGCTACAAAAGCACAAACAATCAAACACTCCAATTCACCGACAACTAGTTATTCTCAAATGGAGAGCATTACAAAAAACCACAATCTCGAACTCAACTAAATGCTAGGATGACTGAGTTGCTAAATAGAACTTTGCACAGTAGTGCAGCAGTTCAGGTTGCCCCACTCAATGTAGCACCGAAGGGCAGACAAATGAAATTCAAAAGAACTATGATAAGTAGAAATGAGAGGAAGAAAGAACAGTAACACTGAAAAACATGACGGTTTAGTGGATATGGGAGACCACAAAGAGTGAATACACTTGTGCCACTGTGGACGATTTTGAACCACACCACCACCAGCAGTCTCCAGCTATGATTATTGGTTCCTTGCATTTAGAGGATCCCATCCAGGAGGCCTACACCTCCCTACGTGGCTGGTACAAAAACACCACTGACGAATTTTAAGTTTTGATTTGAACATCCCATCCCAAACCTTTTCCGACCTAATCCTGTTAGTCAACATCGCCAGTCGAGGAAGGCGATGGCTCGACATGAGCAACACGTGTCCCAGCCACAGCCGATTCACCATTCCATCGATTGACTCACCCTCTTTACTTAACATTCTACAACTAACCTTAATACTACTGACCATATTATACCACTTAACACAGCAGACAGAAGGCAAACACATGGTCAAAGACCAAATGCTAGGTAACATCAACATATAAACATACTAGGAGTGGTTTATTCCCAACTGCATGGAAATGAAAGTGAATGCTAAGTGATACTGTCAGTGACCATTATGAGACATATCATTTTGAGGTCCCACAAATCTCAGTACAGTTTAAACGGGTGTCCACTCTATTCACATATCAAACTGAAAAAACAAAACGTTCATATCGAGAGAAATAACCTCAAAATCCCAATAATTATCTCTCCTCATTTTAGGGTAATATACAACTTCCATCAGAGGTAGGATCATAGCAACAACCCTTCTTATAATATTCGGCGGCAGATTTTAGTTACTGCATGTATGAGATTTCCTGTCTTCTTTGTATTGTCTACAACATTGGTGTTGGATGAATGCGATGAAGATATGTAGGAAATGCAAGACACTATACAAACTGAGATGACTGTAATGTATTACGCATGCCTTGTAAACGTTCACAAGATGTTACAAAACTACTTGCAATTCCATGCAGTTGGGAACAAGTTACATTCGGCTGCCCAAACTTAAACATATGGAGTGGAATTCGACCTCCTAATCCATTGGTAGGAAATCAAACAGCTAAAACAATGACGGCTGCAATTATAAAGGATTTGTAGAAAGCTAAGTGTGGTCAGACCGAAACATGAGCTATGACTGGCATATGGCTTTTTAGACTGCCTAAAGAGTTTTCAGCATACTGAGTGATAACTGAAACGGCTCAAAATTCACAATGACGCCAAAGCGCCCCCTATACTCGACAAAAAGTTATCTATCTAATGCCATATCACTCAAGCACTTTTATCGTTATGCATTCTAGTACTGATGTATTAATGGGCAGATTTTTATGCTGCACCACTATTCAGTTGTCAAAGATAACTGAGCTCCAGAAGTTAACTGGTGCTCACCATCAGGATCAAACCAGAAAATTTCACTATGTAACAAACAGCACACGGCACCGTGAAATAACTGTAGAAACTCTATATACAATTATATTCGATTCACTGTTCAGTTGCACTGAATAGTGAATTTGTAAACATACACACTGCCTATACACACTTAATCACAGTTGGTCTTACAGATTGCTAGCCTGACTCAAGAAGTACTCACACGTGGAACACGAGTTGCTTATGTTTATTCTTGGCATTAAACATCAGAACCACTTGATTTTAGCTTTCCCAAACTGCAATCATTCTATTTTCGACGGTTTAAACAAGTGCAATGTGGCTGACGCATCACATAGCCGTGACTCGATAGACTTCTTAATATACCCAAGAAAACAGTTTGGTCATTTTTACTGCATAATCGGAAAATAAACACACTAAGGCAAACATAAATTTAAAACATATTATCGTCAGACTGAAGATATTGCACAAACAAGGGGTCAATTGCAAAGAATATCACTTTAGCATTATTCTAGCGGTATCACATGTCGCCAGTGTATTCACCTAATGAACAATGGGAAGTAGGCACAGTAAAAAAACATACATTTCTCTCTTTCTGCGTATATGTATATGATATGAATATAGTTACTTGCATCCCTTCATACACGTGAGAAGTCTTATAGGTCGTTCACCCTCGGGGGGGACAAAGGACTGAATGATGTTAAGGGACAGAATAACTTAGGAATTATTGTTAGACATAACTTGAAAACTGTTTATTGTGATACAGCTGCAGCTAAGGCTTTACGAATGATGTGGACGCTAGGGAGAGCTTTCAAAAACCTAAGTATGCGTTTCGACTAATCTACGCAATATCAAGCCTCAACCAGAATACTGTTTACAAGTGGTTATTCCCTGCTTCAAGAAAGCGAGAGTTCTAGAAGGAGCTCAGAGAGTGGGGACCCAAATAGTCAGTGGTATCTCTCGCCTTCCCTATGGGAAGAGGATGAAACATTTATATCTTTCCATTTCTTACTAGGGAAGGAGAAGAGACTCAACTTCAGCATATCCTAGGTCAAAAAGTGATCTAGGGACTGACCTCCCTAAACTTTTCCCTTGTTTCAGGATACCTTTGTAAGGTGACCACGAAACGCTGCTCAAACCGAGGAAGAATATGTGTGCAATTTAGTTTCTCACATAGGAGTCAATGAATATAACTCCATACGCGTTATTGGACTCTTTCCAAGAGAAATTCGATAACCACAGAGATATATATTACATGTAAACCACTACCTGAATCTGAGCTGTTTACCACTGGCAAATACCCTTCGTTTCAAAAATTAGAATACAGCAGTTGAGACACTGACGGAAGTGCATATTTGTTTATAAAACGTACTTTACTACAGAAATCCTCCTCTAAGGAAATACAAGCAAGCAGCCTGGCAATTAGAAACCGAAATCCTGAAGTTTAACCTACCCACGTTGTATTGCAAACTACCAGAGCAGTAAAACAAAATTGTCTCTAATGTCGAGTTTCAGATGTAATCAATACTAGGGAATATTTCTTCATTTCTGGAGAATCAAATGACATATAGGTGGAATAAAAGTAACTTTGTTGATATTGCTGAATCGAGATATCATATGATTTTTAGCATTGTGCATCTAAGATCTAAACAAATTGTCCAGCCCTAATTCAAACACGTAGTGTTAATATGAAACCTTTATGCAACGAGTGAACATTCTGTAGAGAAATGCTGATCATTATTCACTGTTTGTAGACACCCGGTACACAACAAAACTCTAGTTGTTATTAATATTACTTGACTGCTATCCTATGAAATTTGATGCTTAGCACCAAGCTGAAAATTCCAATTTTTTCGTCTAAAGCATTGCTTGAAATAAGGCTAATTTTATTTGTGTTTAGGCTCACTGCAATCTCCTTTGGTCCCTTACTTAAAGCCATTTCAGTAGCCATTGTGAAAGTAAGGGATATAATATTTATGTGTAATGCTAATTTTGACTCATTGATTTCATCGCACTTAAAAATAGATATGGAGTATTCCGAATAAGTACACTGAGACTAAAAGGTAGTAAACGCATGTCACAGAATCATTGTACCTTGCCCATTTGTCATAGTCTTCTTCTCATAAACTAGTGTGCCTGTAGTCATACTTCACTCTATTTCGGTGCATCTTTTCCATTTCACACATTTTCACTATTTTTAAATTGATTTTTATCATGCGTGACTGTGCACTTCAACTCACATCATTTCAGCTCGTGGTGTTACCATCTGACAAAGAGGAAACTTCTTTCTTATTCAGAAGCTGATTTCAAGCACCGTGAGGTAGTTGACCCATGTTCTTTCTCTAGGTAGTCATACTTACTTCCCAGGGGATAAGACCGGTAAGTAGTATCGTACATGCTCACTTCAAGGTCAAACAATCCCATAAGTTTTTTCAATACAGGATTCCTGGGGATAAACCCTCCTCCGGACTGCTGACATCTCGGCAAACTTTTCCGCAATTTCCTGTTTATTGTATAGTTCTGTGGCACGAGTGCCTTCGTAGGGGATAATAGAAGTTCATCAAGTCAAGAGAATCTCAGCCATTTCCCTGCCAACAATCAGTTTATTTTTTCGAGTCTGACCATAGATTGATATCAGTTAGAGAACCATTGAAAACCAGCATGGAGTACTGGACAGCTGTTCCATCCTAGTTTGGGAATCATCGTAAGTACTCACTCACCACCAAGGTTCAAACCCAGGACCTTCCGGTTATCAGACAAGCTCGTATACCATTCAGCCACGGGAACCCGATTCAATGGCCCATGAATTCTAAATTCTACCAATTCGTGATGTAGTGCGACCACCACCCAATTTCATCGGAGGAAAATCCATTCCTACTCCCGAATGGATGAACCTCATCGGTCACGACTTCTCAGTAGAACTCCAGGAAACTCCGTCCTGTAGCAAGTCACTGGAGCGTATCAGATTAATTTTCAAGGGTTGGTTTGTAAGGATGAAACAGCTGTCCAGTACTCTCTGGTTTTCAGGTGTTCTCTAACTGGTATCAATCCGTGGTCGAACTCGGAAAAAACCCAATCATTACAAACCAACTCTTGAAAATCAATTTATTTATTTGTGATGATTGGAACACATAGTGGACAATACAATTCTCAAGTTACAAGAGCTCAGTGGCGGCGTTGTTTTGTGACTGTGTATCTCCATAATCTATTACTATCATCGCTAATAAATACATCTTTGAGCAGTGGTGAGTGTTATATTCTATTCACACTACTTGAAGTCGTGGTATGAACTGTCCGGCCACCAGGTTAGGTGGGTCAGGCTAATGACTCAACAGGTAGTGTGGCTGAAGCTCAGGTTTAAGAAGAAAGACACACGACTACAGTGAGAGTTTTTTCTAGTCGACACCAACTAGAAGCAAGCTCAAAGTCGTTCAAGTAGCCTAAATATCAATTTGCCAGACTTTCGCCAATGCGAAAAGTCGTGGATCGCTGCGAATCCAGCGGCGGAGCCACCAGAAGATTCCTCTTGTCTAAGTTGCCACAAATAGTACAGACTGCGCTACATATATGTGTTTTAGCATGAAAGAAAAAATTTATGTGAAAAATGCATGGTTTTCACAGGCAGAAATGGCAGTATTAGGGCAATACCTCAATAACTGGCAGTGGAAGAAATCTTAGCCAGCCATATCAAGAAATGATGCTGAAAAGGTGGGGATTATGTAACCATGGAACGACCTCTTAGTACAATGAATCCCCTGATTCTTTCCGTTCACTGTCAAAATCCTTCTCAAAGTGGCTGCCGATGTGTTAACTTGAAAGCTAAGCTACATGTGGCCTCACTAACACACTCTTCCATCAAGGCAACTAATCAAATTATTTACAAACAAAGTGTAATTACAGAAGGCAGTCTTAAAGCTTGAACGTTTCTTTGAAGTCGCAGTGATGAGGAAACCCAGTCAGATAGGAGGGAGAGTACTCATCATTCAATATCATTCAATGGATATAAACAGACTCATTAACCTCAAAGAAGATACAGTTCACGCTTGGTTGCTCGTCTTGTCCTTCAGAACTTCTTCAGAGTGACCATAAAGTTCTGCGTTGAATGAATCCTACATCAGCTTTACCGTAGAGATCACTTCACTCATCTC